ATATTCCTGAGAAGCCTGAAGGCCTCTTCCATGGCTGCCAAACCCAGGATTCAAAAGAGTTGAACCATGGTAGCAGGCATGTGGCCGGGGGGGGGGGGGTTGGGGGCTTCAGCCCCCCCCCAAATTCTCATGGTGTTCGCGAAAAGGCCTTACTGGTACATTATTTAAACTGTTATGTTTATTCATATCATGATCTGATCACCATGCTCAATATATCCCATATGCATGGGGGTATTGGGGTAACGATACAAAAGTTTTGCTAGGGTAGACCCTCTTTCACTCAGACTCAGCCCCCCCCCCCAATCAAACTCAGCCCCTCCCGAAACAAAATCCTGGCTACGGGCTTTGATGGTAGTTAAAGTAAAATCACAGCACTATAGTGTCATAGTGTGAATCAGCCCCAGTCACACAAGTATATCCCATTTGCAGATTCAAACATCAGACAGAAGGATTCATAACTGGCAATTCACTCATTCCACCAGAAAATGTGTTCAAGCGGCAGCTATGAACAATCTTACAGTGAAGCATCCCATTAATGCTTTCTCTGAGATGGGCCAAATCCTTTCAGGCCACTGGGTCTAATCATTCCATACATATAAAATGATACGTGGGGCAAAATTTGTCTTTAAAAAGAAGTAATATGTGGGGTATTTTTTAAGTAAGGTCGTTTTGTTGTAGACACTAGTAGTTCGCGCGTATACCGCAACGAGCGCGTGCGTTGTGTACCGGCATGCCTCGGGAACAACTGTGCTCAGTTTCCGCTCTGTAGCTAACCTGTACGGTTCTGTTCTGTGCTTTAAAAATGTTTAAGACTATCAACTCACCCTCCGCATGTGAGGTTCGCTCAGTGATACGGTTTTTGTCAGCAAGGAACCTGCCTGCTGCAGAAATTCATCGACAGATTTGTGAAGTGTACGGTGATACTGTTATGAGTGAAAGCAAAGTGCGTAAGTGGGTACGACAATTCAAAGATGGCCGTGACAACGTCCATGATGAGGACCGCTCCGGTCGCCCTTCTTTGATTACAGACAATTTGGTGGCTTCAGTTGAAGCGAGGATTCGTGAAGAGGGTAATTTAAAATTGGTTCAGAGGTATGATAAGTGTTTGAACAAACTTGACAACTATGTCGAAAAATAGAGTGAAGTATGTACTTTCTGAAAATAAACTTACTTTTTTGAAATAACTTTCGTTGTGTACTTATGTTCCAAAGGACCTTACTTAAAAAATACCCCTCGTAATATGTCTAAAAGCACCATACAGTTTTGAGATCATTAGAAATGTGTATGGCAGAAAAAAACTGTGGTCACTTTGATAAGTACATTTCAGATTTATTTCTAGCCATACTCCTCCCTTTCCCATTTTTAAAATCAAGGCGGGGTGTGTTTGTGTGTGTGTGTGTGTGTGTGCTAGGGCTGGGCGGTTTCATTTCGTTAATTCGTAATTCGTTAATAATTCGTTAATTTTTTTAATTACAAAACGATAACGAACCATTCTGGAGCAATTTTTTTTAAAAAACAATTTTTTAAATACGTTTTGTAAATGCTTCGCATTTCGTTATTGTATTCGTTTCGTTATTGTTTTGAGGTCGTTTCATTATTATTTCCGCATGTCTGGGGCAAGTTTTATGGTTGTTTTTTGTTTAATTAGTGAAAAAAATTATAATATCTCACCAACAGTCAACAACAGAGGGAGAGGGAAGCTTCAGAAGTTTTTGGAGGTTTTTTAGCGTATTTCGCGGTCGCGTCCGCCATTAACGAATCGATTCATTATTGTTTCAGAAATCAATTCGTTAATGTTTTGTAATTTTTTTCACATTTACGAAATTTCGTAAATATCGAACTTTTTAAAAGGAAAATTTTGTAATTATTTTAAATAACGAAACGCAAAAACCCCCGAAAAAACGAATCGATTTTAGAAACAAATTTTTCCGTTGTTACCCAGGCCTAGTGTCTGCGGTTATTGCTTCCTACTGCCCCGCAAAAGGTTTTAGGCTGGAAGAAGAGAATCTGGAAAAGAGGGACAGCAGAAAGAGCCCTCTGGGCATAAGGCCCTTTGCAACACAAGAAATAGACTTAACTCCTGACATAAGATGTGCTCTATCTGCTCAAACATATTCAGCTGCTTTCCTACCCGGAAGTGACAATTTCAAATCTTTCAAAGGGCACCCTGCCAGCTCAAAACCAAATGAGGTAAATGAAGACCCTGGATTTTCTGAGAACTCAAAGAGGTGCAATGCTCAGGGTGTCACCATTCTATACTTCAAACTCTACTAAAGAGATTTTGTATGTGTTGCATTGCATCAAAAACCCATTTGATTAGTATTAGAGGCAAATAACACATTCAGTGAAGGGTTAGAAGCCAAGCCTTATTTACCGCCAATTTGCTTTCTTTGTTATTCTTTCTTTGTTTTTGTTTTTTTACATAGTATAGATTAAGGTAGTTTGTGCTCTCTTACTATTAATCCTTAGCCGTTTTCTATTGTTAAAATGTTATTTTTATTTGGTTTGTGTTTAATAAAAAAATGTGTGCACATCAGGAGAAGCAAACCTTTCCCAAAGCAATTTCAGCTTCTTCTTTAAAAAAAAAAAAAAAGAAGAAGAAGCATCAAGGCTAGGCAGACAAGGCTTGGCAGGGCCACTGTGTTCATAAGGAGGAGCTGTACATAGAATATGAAACAGTATGTGAAATGAGATCCTTGGATTTTCTAGTCTTCGTTCAGATAAAGTAACTTTGCAACTCACAAGGACACGAAATCGCTATTACTGCTTTGTCCGCGTTAATTTATTTATATTCAGCTTCGCAACTCTGTCAATCAGTTTCAATAGTTCCTGTGTTGCTCTTTGGAGGACATTTGTGTCAAAAGTAACTATCAGGAGTAATTGAGACAAGAAGGCAGTATTTTTTTTTACTTAAGACTGCTTGTAACAATTTGTCTTTTCAAATAACAAGCTGTTGCATCTTCCCACAAATGAATTTACTCAGAACTTGTCACTCCCACATGGCAAAGTGACTTAACGTATTCACAAGCAGGTGCTCCAAGCGTTGTTTTCAAGTCATAAAATGTAAATAGATAGTTTTCTTTTTAACACTGAGCAACATGAAGCTTAGCATTTCTTAGAACTGAATAAGGCACTGACTTTGTTAAGACAAGACCCGGATGTTTTGCCATCACTTGGAACAAGGGGCAGAGGGTATTAACCATTTTCAACAAAAGCAGCTAATGCATTACACTGTATAGTTCTCCCTCACTTCTGACTGTGTCACACCATCTTGAACTTAACATTCCTCACACAGGCATAGACAACCTCACAGTATTGTGAACTGCCCCAGAACCTGCCACCAAATCACCCAATGGAAGTTAACCATTGCAGTCTGAATTTGACAACTGATGCTACGAGGGGTATTTTTTAAGTAAGGTCCGTTTTGTTGTAGACACTAGTAGTTTGCGTGCATACCGCAACAGGCATGTGCGTCGTGTATCGGCATGCCTTGGGAACAACTGTGCTCAGTTTCCGCTCTGTAGCTAACCTGTACGGTTCTATTCTGTGCTTTAAAAATGTTTAAGACTATCAACTCACCCCCCGCATGTGAGGTTCGCTCAGTGATACGGTTTTTGTCAGCAAGGAACCTGCCTGCTGCAGAAATTCATCGACAGATTTGTGAAGTGTACGGTGATACTGTTATGAGTGAAAGCAAAGTGCGTAAGTGGGTATGACAATTCAAAGATGGCCGTGACAACGTCCATGATGAGGACCGCTCCGGTCGCCCTTCTTTGATTACAGTGAACTCTTGGTTATCGGAGCAGGCGGCAAGTTTTTATGAAGAGGGTATTTTAAAATTGGTTCAGAGGTATGATAAGTGTTTGAACAAACTTGGCAACTATGTCGAAAAATAGAGTGAAGTATGTACTTTCTGAAAATAAATTTACTTTTTTGAAATAAACTTTCGTTGTGTACTTATGTTCAAACGGACCTTACTTAAAAAATACCCCTCGTAAAACCTGGCTGCCTCAGTGAAAATTCCTGCAGTGGCTGCTGCTCAATTTGCCACTGTCCTCCACATCAAAGCCCCGCAGATTAGCAAGACAGAGGAAGATCTTCCTTCTCTTCCATAAGGGGATGAGGAAAAGGATCCCCCCTTCAACAATGTAAGTGTTGGCAACATACTTCTACAGCAGCAATAAATAGGGCTGCCAGGGACCACAAAACTGGCTGAATGGGGCTGTCCACCTGAGGCAAATAATGAGGCTGAAAAGTGTGTTTCCAACCTGCACATAATCCAGAGGTTCTCAACCTGGGGTCCCCAGATGTTTTTGGCCTTCAACACTCAGAAATCCTAACAGCTGGTAAACTGGCTGGGATTCCTGGGAGTTGTAGGCCGAAAACATCTGGGGACCCCAGCTTGAGAATCACTGATAATCTGTTTTACTTATTTTGAAGGGAGAAATGATACAGTTAAAGTATGCATTTCTCTGTTACACCTATAAAAAACCTATCCAGATCACAGGCAAAATTAATAGATGCCAGTAAAGAATCATCTAAAACAGTGCTTCTCAACCTGGGGTCCCCAGATGTTTTTGGCCTTCAACTCCCAGAAATCCTAACCGCTGGTAAACTGGCTGGGATTTCTGGGAGTTGTAGGCCAAGAACATCTGGGGACCCCAGGTTTTTTTTTTTTTTGTCGTGTCAGGAGTGACCTGAGAAACTGCAAGTCGCTTCTGGTGTGAGAGAATTGGCCATCTGCAAGGACATTGCCCAGGGGACCTGGATGATTTGATGTTTTTATCATCCTTGTGGGAGGCTTCTCTCATGTCCCCGCATGAGGAGCTGGAGCTGATAGAGGGAGCTCATCCGCCTCTCCCCGGATTCAAATCTGTGACCTGTCAGTCTTCAGTCCTGCCGGCACAGGGCTTTAACCCACTGCGCCACCGGGGGCTCCGACCCCAGGTTGAGAAGCACTGATCTAAAAGGATTACATGTTAGAGAAAAATAATACATCCTTTTTGCATCAAAACAAGCTTTATAAAAGTTTAAAAGAAGCAAATACAACAGTATTTGGGTCAGAGAATTCTGCAAGCAGCAATACTTTCAGTGGCATGCTAGAGCTTCAGAACAGTTCACTAAAAGGACAGCAGGCTTTCAGGTTGCACAGAACACCGCTATGCGTCAGAGTAAGAAAGTATAAATGAAGATATGTACATTCCATACGTTTCTAGGTACTGGGAGAAACAGGCTTTGGTTGAACACATACTCAACTCTATATAGAAAGATTTATGAAGTTTTTAAAGTTTCAGAACAAAGACAGGCAATTTCTCTTCCACTTATTTCTTTCTGAAAAAGGATCCTGTGCAACCTGGAAGTTCCTTACTCAACCAGAATGAAATGAACCCTCCACAGCCACTCACAAAGAAAGAAAGAGCACCCATCAATATCTCTGAATTTCCTGCCTCCTTCTGGAACCATCCAACAGCCATGCTTGAAATTCCCAAACAGAATGGCTCTTCCCCAGCTCTGCCTAATCAAAGAGATCCAAAAATGCAGAAAATACCTGACGTGTGTTTACAGCACTCTCTTGTACCAATAATCTTAATCTTGATTATGTAGCTATGTTTAAAGAGCCAACCTTGCTACGAAGATGGCACCTTGAGGAAAGCTAAAGACAACCCTGAGTTGTGCCACAGTGGAGAAGGAGAGCACTGATCAACGTATAAAGAGCCTCCAGTTCCAGCTCTTATCTTTTGGTGGTTGAATCTTTGCTGGGCAGAGACAGGTTACATACCACCACAATCTCCCACAACAAGCAACCCTCACACTTTCCCAAAACATACCACCACAATCTCCCACCACAAGTGACCTTCACACTTTCCCAGAACGTCAAAATCAGAAGGTTTGCACCAGGAATCAGGGCAGCCACAGAGGAAGAGTCACTGCATAGAGGTGTGGGACACTTGCAGCGTGTTTGCACCATTCCCTCTTGGTGCCCTTGTCTTGCCCCTATTCTTGGCTCTCGGCACTTTTGGAAGATTCTAGGCTCCCCTTCAGCAGGATTTCACTCAGTGCAGGGGACATGTAATAAGGCCGCTCAGGAGATCCATCATTCCTTTCCAGATCTTCACCTTTGGGGATCCCAAGAGGAAAGATAGAGAAAGCAGCCATAGAAGGAAGAACAAAAGAAGCAACGCAAAAATAAATGAACAAAGACAAGGGTAAAGGGGCAAAAAGCAAGAGGAGAAAGAGAGGGAGAGAGAAAATGGGAAATTTGAAGTTAGTTGCAATTAGATTCCTCCACCAAGAAAAGAACAAGGCAGATCAGACAGTCACCTGCTTTTGTGATTTATAGAGCATTTTGGCTACTAAAGCAGAAGCAAAGGATAAAGGTATGGAGAAGAATTAAAATGTTAATGGCTGTAAAAAAATCTTAAGAGGAATTAGTTCTCACTGTCATTCTACAGCAGGGCTGAGACATCTACAGCCCAGCCTTCTAGCCAAGGAAAACTCAAGCTTTTAAGTTATTGAGACCAATATGACATCACTCTTTCATCTGCACTAAGTACCCCTGCCCTTTTTCCTAGTTCCAACAGACCTCACTACCTCTGAGGATGCTTGCCATAGATGCAGGCGAAACGTCAGGAGAGAATGCCTCTAGACCATGGCCATACAGCCCGAGAAAACCTACAACAACCCATTCCAAACTATACAGGATGCTCAACCCATGCCTTACTGCAAAGGATGCAAAATAAATACCTAATTGGTTGATGGCTTTTCCTTTGAATGTCTGGTAGTAAACCAATCTGCACTCCTATCGAAATGCCAGCATTTTGACTCAATTGTAAGGAGGGCCATACCCCTCCATTGCTATACAATGCTGTGCCTGATTATTTTTATTTTAATTGTTTGCATTTTTGTTTTCAAACTCAAAATGCACCCTTCCTACAGTAATTTGGCCAAATTTTGAACATTTGTGGCAAACTGTTATACTTTCACTACCTCTGAGGATGCTTGCCATAGATGCAGGCGAAACGTCAGGAGAGAATGCCTCAAGAACATGGCCATATAGCCCGAAAAAACCTACAACAACCCAGTTATACTTTCTGTCTGTTTTCTTGTTTTAATAATTTTCTCCTGGGCCTCAAACAGACCAGATATCATGGTGATGGTGAAATAGCTCCTGTGACCCTTACAAGAGGTTGTTGAAGGGCATTTTTAGGCTGACACAAAGTCTACCTTCATATTGAGTTGTTGTAGGTTTTTCCGGGCTATATGGCCATGTTCTAGAGGCATTTTCTCCTGACGTTTCACCTGCATCGATGGCAAGCATCCTCAGAGGTAGTGAGGTCTGTTGGAAGTAGGAATATGGGTTTATATATCTGTGGAATGACCAGGGTGGGACAAAGGACTTTTGTCTGCTGGAGCTAGGTGTGAATGTTTCAACTGACCACCTTGATTAGCATTTAATGGCTTGGAAGTGCCTGAGGGGAATCTTTTGTTGAGAGTGATTTGATGTGCCTGATTGTTTACGCTCTGTTGTTTTGCTGTTGTAATTTTTGAGTTTTTTAATACTGGTAGCCAGATTTTGCTCATTTTCATGGTTTCTTCCTTTCTGTTGAAATTGTCCACATGCTTGTGGATTTCAGTGGCTTCTCTGTGTAGTCTGACATGGTGGTTGTGAGAGTGGTCCAGCATTTCTGTGTTCTCAAATAATATGCTGTGTCCAGGTTGGTTCATCAGGTGCTCTGCTATGGCTGACTTCTCTGGTTGAAGTAGTCTGCAGTGCCTTTCATGTTCCTTGATCGTGTCTGGGCGCTGCGTTTGGTGGTCCCTATGTAGACTTGTCCACAGCTGCATGGAATACAGTAGACTCCTGCAGAGGTGAGAGGATCCCTCTTGTCCTTTGCTGAACATAGCATTTGTTGGATTTTCTTGGTGGGTCTGTATGTTGTGTTTCCTCATCAGCTTCCCTATGTGGTCAGTGGTTCCCTTGATGTATGGTAAGAACACTTTTCCTCTGGGTGGATCAACATTCACACCTAGCTCCAGCAGACAAAGGTCCTTGGTCCCACCCTGGTCATTCCACAGATATATAAACCCATTTTCCTAGTTCCAACAGACCTCACTACCTCTGAGGATGCTTGCCATAGATGCAGGCAAAACGTCAGGAGAAAATGCCTCTAGAACATGGCCATATAGCCCGGAAAAACCTACAACAACCCAGTGATTCCAGCCATGAAAGCCTTTGACAATATACCTTCATATTCTTCACTGACTGTCTCTGGCCACACCATTCTGACTACAACTAATATCATCTGGAGTCAAAAGCTAAAAAGGGTCAAGTTTGGCGTTGTGTGGGAGACACCCTGGGAATACCTGAACCTGGAGTTCTACTTTACCCTTGGGTGGATATATCCAGAAAAACAATGGTTAGGTAAATGCATAAGGGAAGGATACCTCAGCCACACTGAGAGTTTATAGGATAGAGAAGATGAGGGGGAAATAACTAAGAAAGGACTAGGGTTGAATACGGCCAACAGGTAGGAATAGAAATCCCACCTCTGGAAAGGAACTGGTTAACATCTGGACAGCTGCCTCAAATACCACCTCAGCAGTCCCCGAACTAAGGTCTGTGTGCTGGATGTGGCCCTCTAAGCTCATTTACCTGGCCCCTGTCCAAAATTTTAGACTTAGGGTCACCCTAAGTCTGAAACGACTTGAAGGCACACAATAACAACAACAATCCACATTAACTTGACAGATATATACTGAACAATTTAAATGTAGATTCTGCAAGTTTGTCCAAATCTTAATCATTTTTTGAGGTTTCCTACTGTAGACTAACATTAGGTTTGCGTATGAGCAAATATTATTCCTTTGCAGGCCACATATCCCATTGAAATACTACTAAGTTCATGATGGTTAAAATTGTTCTTCATTTTTAATATTGTATTATTCTTTCATTTTTTGCACTACAAAAAAGATAAGTACAGTGTGCAAAGGACTTTGTTTGTGTTTTTTCAAACTATAATCCGGACCCCCAACAGTCTGAGGGACAATGAACTGGCCCTCTGTTTAAAAAGTTTGAGGACCCCTGATCTAACTAATTGAAATGAAAATATACCCAAGAAACATTCAGTGGTGGGTTTCACAACTGACATAATTGACCCAAAAGGTGATCAACCAGTTAACAAACTTAATTTAGAAATTACTCAGGTCTCAACATGGATTTATTTTCCGAGCCAGAATTGCAGAACCAAGTGTATGTATGTATAAGGAGTCAAGGAGCCAAGCTCTGCACATATTTCTTATTGTTAAGTGCCTTCAAGTCAAATACAACTTATGGTGACCGAGCAGGGATTCAAACCCTGTTTTCCCAGAGTCGTAAATCACACTGGTTCTGCACATGGAATTCAATGGGACTACTTCTGATAAAACATTCCCAGGATTGGCTGCTTACATTTCTTTTCTTCATTAGGTTATCTCTAGCATTCTGTGTTACTTCCAAATATTACAACAGAAAATACCTTCAAAAATAAAATAGAGGTGTTTCTAACACACAGCACCTCTAATTAACTTTTGCCGTCCCTGACTAACCAACTTTCAGCTGATGACTCTACCAATAAAATACGCAAATCTTCCAAAGAGTTAAGGAGCCATTGAGGAGAAAAATAAGGGCAGAAGTGATGAAGGGAAGAGCTGGTGGTTCCTTTGGGTCTTCTATGCCCAAGCTACACCTGCTGGAGTTCCCTTGCCCAAACTGTTATGAAAAAGGGAGACACTTCTGAATCTGTTCACCCTGTTCAAAAGTCAGATTACTACTAAAGTGATATATAATAGCAATCTATGATGTGGTTGCAACAAAGCTTGTGGATATCACATCACCCACTTTGGACTGTGCTGCGTCCAGAGTTCAAGAAAGTTAACTTTGTTGGACAAATTATTGTGATTATTATCCCACTTTTTTTCTCTAATAAAAGAGACTCAAAGCAGCTCACAATAAAACAATACAATAAAATTAAAGCCTAAAATATACAAACACTAAAATGGAATTAAACATGAACAGTATTAAAAATAAACAATTTAAGCTCTTAAAACCAATTAAAAACCTATGCATAGCTAAATAATAATAATAATAATAATAATAATACTTTATTTATATACTACTTCATCTCCCCGAGGGGACTCAGAGCAGTTCCCAGGTAACATCGCAAAACATACAAAGTAAAACAACATAACCATAAGATCAACAAAACAAAATATAAGCATAAAAATTGTCACCATAACACACATATATTAAAAGTTACCCTGCCTGTTCAAGGCAATTAAAAAATTTAAAAGGCCGGGCCAAGATTTGTGCAAGTCCAAAAATTCTAGGGGGCCCAGGAATTAAGTGCAATGCTATGGCAGGCAACAATAATATCACAGCACCCTTTGACTTGATCTTAAAAACCTCCTTCTGAATAGAAAGGTTGTAGCCTGCCTGAATAGAAAGGTTGTAGCCTGCTGCTGAAAGAAGAGCAAGGAGGAGAACATTCTGGCTTCCCTGGGAAGAAGAGAGTTCCAGAGTTGAGAGGCAGCCACCAAGAAGGACGGCCTGTTCTCTCATTCCCATTAACTTTGCTTTCAATGGAGGTGGGACCAAGAGAAGGGACCTGGGCAGGTTCATACTGGGAGATGTGATCAGCCAAACAGCCCGGACCTGAGCCATATAGTGCTTTAAAGGTCATAATCATCTCCAGATTTTCCTAGTCTCCAAAACCAATAGCTTCGCTGCCTGGGAGAGTCTGGGAAGCTGTAGTCCAAAACAGCAATGTTTTCAATCTATGGCTGCAACATGTAAATACAGTTGCCTAAACAACAGCAGCAGGAGCCCCATGCTTTGGGGAACACTAGAAATGTTTGGTCCTACTTTTGTCAAAGCATGGGGCTCCTAGTGCTAGTTTATCTTCAGAGGTTTATAATAATAATAATAATAAACGTTATTTATACCCCGCCACCATCTCCCCCAATGGGGACTCGGAGCGGCTTATATGGGGCCAAGCCCGAACAACAAGTTTCTGTTATCCCAGATTTTTGAGGATAAGAGAGACAAATTTCTCCAAATGGCCAGCCTAGGGTGTTCAAAGGAATCAAAACACCCTAGCTATGCAGCCATGTGCCATCCAGAGTCACCCATGTTGTTTATTAGTTATGGAAGAAATGCTCCCAGCCACTCTAGTGCTGAGCAAGCCGTTTTAATACAAGACCCTGTCCTATATCCTAACCCTAATCCCTCCTCCAATTACATAAACTCAGATGAGTTCACCCTTGCCACTCACCACAGCTAAGTACTTACAAAAGCAAAGGAAGAGGGTGTCCACACACATGGCATACACACTGAAGAATCCATGGGCTATAAGATAGGAGCCCACAATTACGGTCTGCAAGAAAATAAAAGAGAGATTTGTCTCAATTACAGTTGTATGTATTACAGCTAGCAAGATCTGGCAGTGAAACTACATCCTCTTCAAGTAAATTAAGAGTTGAATACAAAATTCATATATGCCAGGAGATTATTTCTAAGTCATTCATTAAATCTAGCTTATTTCACAAGGCTGTTCTGCCAGGTAAACAATGAAATATGAAATGTACATCAGCATGAACTTTGTGGTGGTAAGGGCCAATATGAATATCCTAAGAGTTCTACATGAATTTTCTTGACGATTAACAGATTAATAACTACTTCGCTAGGGAACTGTGTTTCCCCTTCACAGGGGGCTTGTGTTCCACTTGGTGCTAGTCATGGACCATAACAAAGTTTTATATTGTACTTGCCGTCCCCTGCCACGCCTTGCTGTGGCCCACATGGGGGTTATGTGTGGGAGGTTTGGCCCAATTCTTTCATTAGTGGGGTTTGGAATGCTCTGTGATTGGAGATAAACTATAAATACCAGCAACTACTACTCCCAAATGTCAAGATTCTATTTTCCCCAAACTCTACCAGTGTTCACCTTTGGGCATATTGAGTATTCGTGTAGAGTTTGGTACAGATCCATCATTGTTTGAGTCCACAATGATCTCTGGATGTAGATGAACTACAACTCCAAAACCAAAAGACACTTCCCACCAAACCCTTCCAGTGTTTTCTGTTGGTCATGGGAGAACTGTGTGCCAAGTTTGGTTCAATCCCATCTTTGGTGGGGTTCAGAATGCTCTTTGATTGTAGGTGAACTATAAATCCCAGGAACTACAACTCCCGAATGACAAAATCATTTTTTTTTGAGTGAAGGACATACATTGGGTTGTTAGGTATCTTGTGTCCAAATTTGGTGTCAATTCGTCCAGTGGTTTTTGAGTTCTGTTAATCCCACAAATGAACATTACATTTTTATTTATATAAAGTGTAACAGAGGCTTTCATCTCCTGTTTCCTTTCCTTCCAATGCTTCAAAAAGCTAACCTTTGAATGGTGTCTGCTCCCAGAATCCTCCAGCTTGCAAGACCATGCTAACTAGAGATTCTGAGAAGAAGAGTAGCTAAAAAGGGAGTTTTCCCAAACTCTGCTTGCTGAAGCAACAGAGCTACTAGGGAGAAATATATCTGTGATGGGAAAATGCAGAATATAAAACAGGAAAGTAGCTGCTAAGCAATACAACTAAATCTGGAGATGATGGGAATTTCTTCAAGCCTTAGCTGTAACTCCTAGATACCAACCAGAATGGGGACCCAGTAATAGTTGAGAGGTGGCGCTGTATCTTGTATCACTTTTATCTTATGGGTAAAAAAGAAGAAGGCAAGTATCCCTGGAGAAGAAAGACAAACAATGTCATTCTAGCTTATCAGTCAAAATGATTGACATCATTAATACCACAGCCGCCCCCACCCTCCAAATAATTCTATCTCTTCCAGCTTTATGATTCTACGAGGGGTATTTTTTAAGTAAGGTCCGTTTTGTTGTAGACACTAGTAGTTCGCGCGCATACCGCAACGAGCGCGTGTGTCGTGTACCGGCATGGCTTGGGAACAACTGTGCTCAGTTTCCGCTCTGTAGCTAACCTGTATGGTTCTGTTCTGTGCTTTAAAAATGTTTAAGACTATCAACTCACCCTCCGCATGTGAGGTTCGCTCAGTGATACGGTTTTTGTCAGCAAGGAACCTGCCTGCTGCAGAAATTCATCGATAGATTTGTGAAGTGTACGGTGATACTGTTATGAGTGAAAGCAAAGTGCGTAATTGGGTACGACAATTCAAAGATGGCCGTGACAACGTCCATGATGAGGACCGCTCCGGTCGCCCTTCTTTGATTACAGTGAACTCTTGGTTATCGGAGCAGGCGGCAAGTTTTTATGAAGAGGGTATTTTAAAATTGGTTCAGAGGTATGATAAGTGTTTGAACAAACTTGGCAACTATGTCGAAAAATAAATTTACTTTTTTGAAATAAACTTTTGTTGTGTACTTATGTTCAAACGGACCTTACTTAAAAAATACCCCTCGTATATATTCCAGTCAGAAGTCAAATCACTTGCAATCTGTACCTAAAAAAGTAAAGATTGTCCCCTAACATTAAGTCCAGTCATGTCTGACTCTGGGGTGTGGTGCTCATCTCCATTTCTAAGCCGAAGAGCCAGCATTGTCCATAGACACCTCAAGGTCATGTGGCCGGCATGACTGCATGGAGCGCCATTACCTTCCCGCCGGAGCAGTACCTATTGATCTACTCACATTTGCATGTTTTCGAACTGCTAGGTTGGCAGAAGCTAGGGCTGACAGCGGAAGCTCACGCCACTCCCCAGAATCGAACCTGCGACCTTTCGGTTAACAAGCTCAGCAGCTCAGAGCTTTAACCCACTGCGCCACTGTGGGCTCCTATCCCCCACCAAAAAACCCCAACAAAACAGACTATGATATCATGCCATTGTGCCCACATTTTCTCAGAGAGAAAAGCCAAGGAAGGAGCAAAAAGTGGGTCAGGAAGGATAGGTCAGCTTCCCCATTCTGATATCCTTCAGATATGCAACATTGAAAATCCCAGTGTTGTTGGCCAGTATGGCTACATGGGTTTTGGGAACTGTGGTCCAGTCAATCTAGAGGAGGTCAGTCTAAGGAAGGCTGACTTACACCTTTGGCAGATTGCCTCAGCATATAGTAACCTTGGCCCTACAACACACCCAGAACGATTGAACTGTGAATCTTCCCACTGACTTAATATTCCAAAAAGGACAAACCAGTTAGTGGTAGCAAATGTCAAGGAATCTGCATGGGGGAGTCCAGCAGCAGGTTTAAAAGAGACTTGAAATATCACTAAGGCACGTACCAACACTTCCTACAATCAAGAGTTTGCCGAGGAAAAGCAGAAAATCGGTGACTTTGTCCAGAACAGCCACTCTGAAAGAAGGAGAAAAAAGTCATTTTCTAATAATTCCTTAAATATTTGAACAATGTTCCAGCAAAGCCTGTGAAAGGTGGGGTTTTAAAGTTATCTGATGTGGTGAACTGGCAAAAGTGATATATTTGTGCCCATCCAGAAACCTGCCATGGACTGACAGCCAATGGCTTGTGGACCAACATTAGTCCAGACTGCTTATCTCAGAATTCACTTGTTGGGTTGGTCAGAACCCCACAAATTTTGAGTGGCCTGTTTAATAATAATAATAATAAAAATAATAATAATACTTTATTTATACCCCGCCACCATCTCCCCAAGGGACTCAGAGCGGCTTACATGAGGCCAAGCCCAACAACACATCAATAAAACAAGAAAGCAATTAAAAAAACCCCAATGAAATTAGTATAAATCACATATAAACAATAATACACAAAGATTTATAAACCTATGGCCGGGCCAAATGTAATAATTTAAAATTAAAAATAAATGCTGGGCATGAACAAGGTAGGATATATCTGGTAGGAAGGTTTTAAAAGAAGTGAGGGAGCGCAATCCAACAAATAGTTAAAGTTCATTCTGAGGACATTTTGCTGGAAATTATTTCCTTATTCTGGGAAGACACACTGGAACAGCCATGTTTTCAGGCTCCTCCTGCTTACTCCTGTAGTACATTAGAGGTCTTTTGCTCACAATTCCCATTCACATCCATTATGTTGGGCTTTTTTATACCACATTTCTTCTTCATTTCCATCCTGTTTATTACTAGTTATACACTGTGTGTTATTTTTAAAACCCATAAACTACTTCCAAGCAGAGTTTACAAAGACAAAAGGGTAAAACACGAAAAACAGCAAAATCTATTAAAACATCCACTACAAAAATTAGCCAGCAACCCAAGAGATTTGGGTTCAAATCACTGCTTAGTGGCACAAACAGGATCAGGTATGTAGGGTTGCATGTAATAAAGCAAGTGATCTAGTGAGTTAAACCATGCAATATTAACAGAATCTAATGACTGGGTGAGCATTTGAATGGGGGTTTTAAAAGGCTGATGTGTAGGTCTATCAGTCAATCAGAAATAGGAATTAGTCAGACTTTATTACATCTATGAGTTGTTTAGTGTTTAATTACAGACACACAGTGTCTGAGATGGTAGCAACTGTTCAGTGTCGGTGCAGGCCCGTAGCCAGGATTTTGATTCGGGGGGGGGGGGGGCTGAGTCTGAGTGAAAGAGGGTCTACCCTAGCAAACTTTTTGTATCGTTACCCCAATACCCCCATGCATATGGGATATATTGAGCAAGGTGATCAGATCATGATATGAATAAACATAACAGTTTAAATAATGTACCAGTAAGGCCTTCTCGCGGACCACCTTGAGAATTTCGGGGGGGGGGCTGAACCCCCCCCCCCCCCCCCCCCGGCTACATGCCTGTGTTGGTGGTAACTTGGTGAGATAAATGAAGGTGATCTTGGGCAGGTCATACTATTTCAGCCTGAGAGGAAGGCAATGGCAAGTTGTCCCTGAGTACTTGATCTCTTGCCTATCCCCAATTTAAAGTCCCCTAAGCAATACTGCAGCAACAAAACAGCAAGTGATTGCCAGGTACCTCACCTGATTATATTCCTCATAAGCAGGAAAAAGGCATTTCTTGCTGAGGTGCAGAAATTGGTGCCATAAATAGCAATCTAGAGAAAATCGTGAAAGAAAATCCCAACATTATTGCATCATGTGAGAAAAACAACATTGTTCCGCATGAGACTCTGAGATAATATAAATAGCGGCTTACATGAGGCCTGCAGCTCCGCCCCTGTCAACCACCTCCACCAAGTCTGGCCTCCTTAATGAGAGCATTCAACACCCCCCCCCCCCAACTTGGTTGTTTCGCTACATGGGCTATTGCTGCAAGTAATGACAGTGTGAATAAATTGTCAATATTTGCTTGAGATAGTGCTTGCAGTTCTGGAGGGACTCTTAATTTTTTGCATCTCATAGACTTAGCATGGGGATTTGGTTAACCAGTTTAAATTCATGAGTAAACCAGGTTTTTTTTAACCTGAATTTTTTTTGGGGGGGGGGAGGTTTACACGCCTACAGGCCTGCCACCCAGCCATTCTCATACACCGTCATGGACTTCAATCCCTTCTCTAGTTTCCTCATTAATTGTCCCACAGCACTAGAGTATATTATGTGCAATCTCAAAAGCAACTTTCGAAAAAGCCCACATGACACTGCCCAACAAAAGGAAGAAAAACAGTAGAAACACTAGGAAAAGGGAGGAGATAGCTGCTGCAGCATTGGCCGATTGCCACGAGATGTAATGGCAATTCAGCATTGCAAGTAAATTTATTGGCACAAGTGTTTTGGATGAGAGCTTTAGGCAGCCAAGGCCTTCTCAAGATCTAATAGACTGATGAATCTAAAGGGAATTTTCCAGCAGCCCCTCCTTCCACGAAAGGAAAGCTGAAGGCTTCATGGAGGGGGAGGAAACTCATCTTGCTTTAAAGATTTTATTTATAAATTTGTCCAACAAAATGTATAAGCATACATTCTTCTCTCTTTCTACAGTATCCTAGACAAAAGAGTATGTCATATTATATACAATCTAGCAGTAAATAAACATCAAAAACATCTTTAATCATATTTCTTATTATTTTAAATTTTCCATTCTAACATGCTACATATAACTGTGTCACACACCTTTTATCCACTTATACACATTGTATTTCTTTATAATTATTATTATACCATTTTCCCCCTCTTCCCCTTATCCTTAGTTTGTGGCCCCTTCACCAGGACCAACCAACTCATGTTGCTTCACCATTCCAAAATATCATTGTTTCTCTTGCTGGCTTATATCCCTTTCCCTCATTAAACACATACTCAATATTCATATGTATTGAGTATAGGAAACTCATCTTGAATCTCTGCAGTAGTTGATCAAATTGGTCATAGGCTAAATTTGACCCATAGGCTGAATGTTCCCCATCTCTATCCTAGCCAATTGTTTCGGAAGTTGTTCCCATGTTGCTCTGGTCATCTACAAATCTGCAAAGATTTCCAGGTGATCTGTAAACATTAAAATTTCTCACCATGATGTATGCATTTCTATTCAAGAACTTGATGAACTTCTCCAGGCACCAGAAGCAGCACTTGAGACAGACCAAAAGAAACTTGGCAAACTTGTTGTCAGCAGCTACAGTAAGGAGAGCAACAGAAGAGAGGAAGTTGGTTTTCTTCTCTGTTGATCAAATTGGGCAAAATCACATCTACATAGTTGTTCTTTCTCCCACTCTCACACACATATGCACACACGATTCTGAATAGGATCAGAATTTCAATACTTGAGAAATCAATTTTTATACCTAGATTTATTTCTTGACTGCAATATTAAAAAAGTACACAAAAGCATGCACATTATCACTTTGATCCAAAGCTCATGAGTACACCCCAGAATGTTCAATGCCATAGAGAAAGTCCTTGCTTGCTCAGTATCTCTGTGTGTATGGATCTCACTGTCACAAAAAAGGAAAGCTAGGAAGCAAGGAATCATAGAATAATAGAGTTGGAAGAGACCACATGGGCCATTTAGTCCAACCCCCTGCCAGGCAGGAAAAGCACATTCAAAGTATCCCTGACAGATGGGCATCCAGGCTGTGTTTAGAAGCTTCCAAGGAAGGAACCTCCATCAGGAAGGAAGGTGCAGGGCTCTGAGGTCCTACAGATAAATTTTCAGTTTCTTCCTCCTTGGCACATAGAAGCATTTAACCCTATTCAGGAAAGATATCAACACCACGCATGAAAAGATAAGTGTGCTAATCACCCCATTCATCGTTCGTGTTAGTGCCTGAAAAGAAGAGCCTGTTGGATCCATGAAAGTTCTCCCCGTGAACAAGAACCCAGAATTTTCCTCATTTTGGCTTGCAAGGAAGGCCTCCACAAGTACAATAGGCTCTCCTCTTCAGAGGTATTGCTTTCATACGAAGAATATGGTGATAGGTAGGGTGGCACACTCTCCTCCTTGCATGTGTATTACATATCCTCACCAAATGGGATAATATGCTCCTTCTTGTCCATACTCTGTTGCTACTACAAAGTTTCATGGCAAATAGTCCCCAACTTTATACAGGTTTTTACTCCAGAGCAGGTTGGTGCAAGAGACATTTCTCTAGATGTATTGTCGAAGGCTTTCATGACTGGAATCACTGGGGTGTTGTAGGTTTTTTCGGGCTATATGGCCATGTTCTAGAAGCATTCTCTCCTGACGTTTCCTGCATCTATGGCAAGCATCCTCAGAGGTTGTGAGGTCTGTTGGAACTAGGAAAATTGGGTTTATATATCTGTGGAATGACCAGGGTGGACAAAGAACTCTTGTCTGTTGGAGCTAGATGGGAATGTTTCAACTGACCACCTTGATTAGCATTTGATGGCCTGGCAGTTTTTTGGTGTGGCTTGTTATGCCTGGGGGAATTTTTTGTTGAGAGGTGATTAGCTGTCCCTGATTGGATTGTTGTAGGTTTTTTCGGGCTATATGGCCATGTTCTAGAGGCATTCTCTCCTGACGTTTCACCTGCATCTATGGCAAGCATCCTCAGAGGTAGTGAGGTCTGTTGGAACTAGGAAAATGGGTTTATATATCTGTGGAATGACCAGGGTGGGACAAAGGACTCTTGTCTGCTGGAGCTAGGTGTGAATGTTTCAACTGACCACCTTGATTAGCATTGGATTGCCAGCTTGCTATGCCTGGGGGAATTTTTTGTTGAGAGGTGATTAGCTGTCCCTGATTGGATTGTTGTAGGTTTTTCCGGGCTTTATGGCCATGTTCTAGAGGCATTCTCTCCTGACGTTTTGCCTGCATTTATGGCAAGCATCCTCAGAGGTAGTGAGGTCTGTTGGAACTAGGAAAAGGGTTTATATATCTGTGGAATGACCAGGGTGGGACAAAGGACTCTTGTCTGCTGGAGCTAGGTGTGAATGTTTCAACTGACCACCTTGATTAGCATTTGATGGCTGAACATGAATCAACAGTGTGATATGGGAATCTTTTGTTGAGAGGTGATTAGCTGTCCCTGATTGGATTGTTGTAGGTTTTTTTGGGCTATATGGCCATGTTCTAGAGGCATTCTCTCCTGATGTTTCACCTACATCTATGGCAAGCATCCTCAGAAGTAGTGAGGTCTGTTGGAACTAGGAAAATGGGTTTATATGTGGAATGACCAGGGTGGGACAAAGGAGTCTTGGTGTGAATGTTTCAACTGAGCACCTTGATATGTTTGATGTTTGATATTGTCTATTGCTTATTGTGTATTTTTCTATTCTTGAGTTATTTTAACTGTTTTGTATTGATTATTGTTATTGCTTTTGTTTATTGATGTATTGTGGGCTTGGCCTCGTGTAAGCCACACTGAGTCCCTTGGGGAGATGGTAGCAGGGTACAAATAAAGTATTTATTATTATTATTATTATTATTATTATTATTATTATTATTATTAGCATTTGATGGTCTGTCTGTTGTTTGGTGTGGCTTGTTAGTGTCCCTGATTGTTTCCTCTCTGGAGTTTTCCTGTGTTTGGGTGCTGTTTTGCTGTTATAATTTTAGTTTTTTAATACTGGTAGCCAGATTTTGTTCATTTTCATGGTTTCCTCCTTTCTGTTGAAATTGTCCACATGTTTGTGGATTTCAATGGCTTCTTTGTGTAGTCTGACATGGTCTAGAGTTTTTACTGGCTTATATATTTTTTTAATCAGCAAAACTTTTTGATTCTTTTTAGTGAGAGTTTAACCCATATGCGAACCCTGCTCTTCAGTCAGACACATCCTTCAGAGTGGCTCAAGACGAAGGAGTTCTCCACAAGGTAAGAAAGTAGGAAATCCAAAAGGAGCCCGAAAACAGCATGACCAGTTAGCCAATGAAGAAAATAAATGCTGGGCAAGATTTTGAAGGTATAAGATTCCAAGTCAAACTTGGGAAAATTCCTTCATGCCAACTGAGCCTAATGGAACATGTCCAACTTGAATTTCTTCTGCATGCTTTCTGCCCATTCCAGTATCTTGCCCCATTCAGTACCTTTTAGCCTATGATCCAAGTATTCCAGAATAACACGAATGACCTGGACGATAGCTAGAATTAGAGACCCAAAGGCCAATGAGCCTGTGTGATACCTGTTGCAGAAGGATGGAAGGAAGGAGTAAAAAATGTATTAGCATGAACAACTGTGATTTTTTTCCACTTAAAGAACAGAGCGATAATTTATCCATTGCAACTGGCTTTAATAATTAAAAAAAATAGTATCCTAGAAGAAATCACTAAGCCTTCTAGATGTTTTGGAGGTAAGTAAAACATTTCCCTGAACATGCATTAATAAGTAAGGCCTTCTCAAACTCCCCTACAACACTTTTCTCACCCCACCAGACACTTAAATTTACCAGGACAAGATGGTTATGATTCAGACAGACATAAAAATCATGAATAAGTTTCACTCTCTGGAATCACATTTAAGAAACAATTCCCAAGTTATGCCAGGTCCTGGAAAATGTAAAAAAAAACATTTTCTGATACAACAGTGAATGAATGCTGAATGCTCTGTTGCACTCAAGTCAGCAAAGACACCCCATTTGGTCCAGAATACAGATAATTCAGCACCGTCTCTGCATTATTGTATAATTTTCAGTCTCCTCTTGTGTTTATGTATCTGAACCCCCATAGCCCATCCCATCTTTCAAGGGGCCAACAGTGCTTTTTTCCACCCCAATCCACCTGGCTCCTTTTACCTGAGTGCTCGGCCAAAGGAAGAAAAGAGGGGGAATGCAGGCATGTCATCTGGTTTCTTAAAGGCCCAATAGTAGGAGGCAAAGGCTCCAGCCAGTGTGACCTGGCCTAAGGCAATGACGAAGTTGGCCAGCCAGAAGAACATGAAAACATTGTAGATCTGGAAGATGATGAGGTACTTGTGGTAGGCGGTCTCACCACCATAGAAGGCAAAGAGGCAACGGGCATCTGGGCACTGCTTGGTGATGTTGGAAGTATTGAAGGTCTGAAAGAAAGGAAGAAAATGATTACATCTCAGCAACTCTGGTAGTTGGACTCAGACCCAGACCCAGTCTTCCTCTCTCCTTAGAGATGATAAGTTGTGGTCATGTAGAGTGAGGCAGCATAACTTCCTTTTTTCAAAATTTAATAAAACCCATTGTATGAATCAGACCACCGTCTCCCAAAGCAGTTGCTCTACTCTGAACTCAAGAACAGAAAACAGAATGTTGGTGGGCAGGAAAAGAGATTGAAAGATGGTCTCAAAGCCAACCTTAAAAACACTGGCATAGACACTGAGAACTGGGAAGCTCTGGCCTGTGAGCGCTCCAGCTGGAGGTCAGCTGTGACCAGCAGTGCTGCAGAATTTGAAGAGGCATGAATGGAGGGCAAAAGAGAGCAATGTGCCAAGAGGAAGGCATGTCAAGCCAACCCCGATGGGGACGACCTTCCACCTGGAAACCAATGCCCTCACTGCAGGAGATGATGCAGATCAAGAATAGGGCTCCACAGTCACCTATGGACCCACCCTGGAAGATTATCCTACTCGGACAACGAGGAATCGCCTAAGTAAGTAAGTAGATGTTATGAGTAGAGAAGATACATCCCCTGGATGCCTTTCGTGCTTACAACAACTCACACTCAACGGCAGCCAATATGCTACATTCTGCAGACATCTGAGGCCTTCAAACAGTTTTGAAGAAAACACTATAGCATTCCTGAGCACATCTCCCTCATCTCTGTTATTTAACAGTTCATTCAGCAACTATTTAGATTACTTCTCACCTCTGGGTTGCAGGTCTTTCCAGCATAAGTGCACTCCGTCTCGTTAAATACCTTGTAGACAGCTTCGTTAGAGGTAGACAAGAAACTGAAAGCAGTCAAGGGCTCTATGTGATAGGACTGTACAGCTCATTCCTGCCTATATGATGAGCTTGAGTGAACTAAGCAGTTTGCTGGCATCCCATCTCCCAATTATCCATTTGCCAAAGTGTGATGTGGGGAGGGAGAGCCAAGGAAGGATACACTGCTGTGCTCGCCCAGTAAGCGATGCAGAGGCACACCAGGAAGAAAGTGCAGAGGGGAAACAGCAAGGATGTCATGACGTGACCAATAGCCCTGTCAGAGAGATGGGGAAGGGGGAGAAAAGATGGTACAAGTCAGTTCCAAGGCTTTGGTCTGTCCAGCTGCAAGACACCACTCTAAAAATATTATATTTTGGCCTCGGTGTGAGCTGGCTCCTTTACAATGATACCATGCACAGTTAGTAGATTTCAACTCTGAGAATACCTAACGAAGCTTGCATACTGTCCCGTAAACCCTTGCAAATCAAATTAGCACCTGGTGTGTTGGGATGACTATTCTAACTAGCCAAATTCAGTCCATTGGGAACCAAGATCCCCACAGGAGACAAGACTCTCTGGAATTGTCCACTTCCAGGCAAAAACCATTTTATTCTGGGTTGTTGTAGATTTATTCAGGCTATATGGCCATGTTATAGAGGCATTCTCTCCTGATGTTTCTCCTGCATCTATGGCAAGCATCCTCAGAGGTTGTGAGGTCTGTTGGAACTAGGAAAATGGGTTTATATATCTCTGACCAGGGTGTGACAAAGAACTCTTGTCGGTTGGAGGTAGATGGGAATGTTTGAATGGACCACCTTGATTAGCATTTGATGGCCTCTAATCACCTCTCAACAAAAGATTGCCCCAGGCACTAACAAGCCACACCAAACAACTGCCAGGCCATCAAATGCACCAGGATTGTGGCGCAGCTGGCTGAGTGTCAGCTGCATTAAGATCACTCTGACCAAAAGGTCATGAATTCGAAGCCAGCCCGGGTTGGAGTGGGTTTCCAACCAATTGTGTGTAGCCTGTTGTCGACCTTTGCAACCCGAAAGACAGTTGCATCTGTCAAGTAGGAAAATTAGGTACCACCTTAAAAGTGTGGGGAGGCTAAATTAACTGATTTATGAGGCCATAAAGAAGACTCCAGCAAAGCATTCCAGCGGGGAAGTATGCGGGGAATGCGGAAGTGCTTCATCAGCGTCGCAGATGGACGATGAAAGCGACAGCTCCCCTGGCGGCCAGAAAAAGTTAAATAGCCTCTGCGTATGTCTGTATATGTTTGTATGTCAAAAATTGGCATTGAATGTTTGCCATATATGTGTACACTGTAATCCGCCCTGAGTCCCCTGCGGGGTGAGAAGGGCGGAATATAAAAGCTGTAAATAAATAAATGAAAAACAACAGAGAGGAAACAATCTGGGACATCTAATCACCTCTCAACCAAAGATTGCCCCAGGCTCTGCCAGGCCATCAAATGCTAATCAAAGTGGTCAGTTGAAACATTCACACCTAGCTCCAACAGACAAGAGTCCTTTGTCCCACCCTGGTCATTCCACAGATATATAAACCATTTTCCTAGTTCCAACAGACCTCACAACCTCTGAGGATGCTTGCCATAGATGCAGGCGAAATGTCAGGAGAGAATGCCTCTAGAACATGGCCATATAGCCCGAAAAAACCTACAACAACCCAGTGATTCCAACCATGAAAGCTTTCGACAATCCCATTTTATTCTGACAGGGACTTGAGCATTAAGTGGTTTTCACAAAAGAGTATTTCAATTGTGTACTTGCTGTACTTTAATTCTTTTAGTTATGCTTTAAATATTTCTAAATTGTCTTAAATTAGTGTTGTTTTAACAGTTTAATTGTTATTTTATCATTTTCTTTACATTAAGCAGTACCACTTCCAGAATGCAAAAAAAGTGGAAAATAAGGAAAAAGAAACAGGGACAATACATTACAAAAATATGCTACAATGATAAAGGTTTACACCAAGGAGAGGGACATCATTGACCAATTCAACAAATTCTACAAAAATCTATACACTAGAAAATAAATAAAAGATGACATAACACAATACCTGAGAAAACAAAAGTTAAATAAAATCTCGGATCACAATAAGGAAACGTTAAACAAGGAGATCACGATACAAGAAATTCAAAGAGCAATAAAGAAATTGGACCTGTCTAAAGCCCCGGGCCCAGATGGGTTCTCTGCCTTATTCTACAAAACTTTCAAAACAGAGCTGATTCAGTGTCTGAGTCATGAATCATGCACTGATATTTCAAAAAAATCCAGAATATTGGAAACAAACATATATCATACTAATACACAATTCTGCTACCATTTCAAATTGCCTTTCTGGTGCTGTGCAATCTTACTAGATTTTCCAGTAGATACAAAAACAAAATTACTCTCGAAAAGTTATAAAGGAAAGGATGCCGAAGGACTATTGTTGCAAAGAGCCCCATCTCAACCTCACCTGCTGGCTTCCTTGATCAGTGCAATGGCAATGAGGATCCTTTTGCGCAGGAAGATGAGGAGCAAGATGATGATAACCTCCACAATGCAGAGGATGATCACTGGAGAAAAGATATTTAAGAGATTTTTTTTTGTGGTCAAAACATTATTCCAATCAGCTTTCAGCAGCTTCTAAGAAAACTATAGTGACACAGAGTGTGGTACTGAACAACCTCTCGATAATACCTCAGCCTGTTTATTATTAATATGGTGGCAGTGGAAATCTTTTGAAGAATCATTTTGAGTCTCTCAGTTCCAGTGGTTCCCAGTTTCTAACTTCTGAGTATTCAGTTGGTTCAACAACCATACTCCCTCTATATTTTGGTGAGCTAGTTTGTAGTGGAGGTGTCATCATTATAATTTGGCTGAGCAGCATTGTGGGATTATTTTTCTATATTTCCCCATGTGATAAAATTCAAATTTTAAAATCTTCTCTACTACAGCTACCTTTCTGCTATCGTTATAATTTGGTTGGCAGTGGTGTGATTGTTATAATTTGGTGGCAGCGGTGGGATTGTTATAGGTACCAATTAAACACTTGTCCTTGCGGTGCATTAAGGAAGGAAGTTGCGTTCCTGTCTTGACTTCATTACATCCAGGCCAGGGTGGTTCATGCCTTAGTCACCTTCAGATTGGACTACTGTAATGCACTCTACGTGGGGCTGCCCTTGAAAACAGCCCGGAAATTTCAATTGGTCCAACGGGCGGCGGCCAGGTTGTTAACTGGGGCTCCTTACAGGGAGTGGTCAACCCTCCTGTTTAAGGAGCTCCATTGGCTGCCATTCATTTTCCGATCCCAATTCAAGATGCAGGTTGTTACCTACAAAGCCCTAAACGGTTTGGGACCTGCCTACCTGCCTGACTGCATTTCTGTGTACAAACCCACACGATCTCTTCAATCATCTGGAGAGGCACTGCTTGCACTCCCACCTCCATCGCAGACGTGATTGGTGGGGACGAGGGAGAGGGCCTTCTCGGTGGTGGCCCCTCGATTCTGGAATTCACTCCCTAAGGACATCAGGCATGCCCCAACTTTGGCAATCTTTAGGAGGAGCCTGAAAACGTTGTTGTTCCAGTGTGCATTCCCAGAATAAGGAAACTCCCAGCAATATGTCCCTAATTACACTTTATTAATGATCTAGGACTGTCTGTACGCCCCATTCTTTTCCAAAATTCTATCCTAGTTATATTTCACCTGGTCTTGCTCAGCATTATTTTTTAAAATTTAATTATTACATTTGGTCCAGCCATAGGTTTTTAATGTTATTGTGTTATTGTTGATGTTTACGAGTTTTATTTTATTGTTTTGTATTACTGTTGTTGTTATTTTTTGCTGATGTATTGTGGACTCGGCTTCATGTAAGCCACACCGAGTCCCTTGGGGAGATGGTAGCGGGGTACAAATAAAGTTATTATTATTATTATTATTATTATTATTATTATTATTATTCTAGATGTGAGGAGGGGGAAGATCTTAGACAAATAAGAAGCACACTGGTACTGAAAAGTTCCTGAATTGACTCATAGTCACTGCTTCCCCTTTTGGATTAAAATAAGAACTAAATATTCAACGGTATACTGATCTGTTTTAGTGAGCCTCATAAACTATTATCTTGACAATTGTGGAAGTCGCTCCATGGCCTATATTGTTTGCTGAGCTCTGCCATTTGTGTTATGCTAGAAAGGCTGTAACTGCAATATTGTGTGTCCAAGGCCAACAACCGGACATTGTGGTTACATACAGTGCTAGATCGTGAGAACATCCTCTTAAACAACAAACAATCTTTGAATACATTCTATACTGGTCACATAAACCTCAGATTAGAATTACCACACACACATTAGAAATTGCTCATGCACACTTTGCCGTTGGCTGTGTAACTCTGAAGTTCTAGAAAATACTAATGCTTGAATTTATCTCATCCAGTGCTTGGGAATAATTTAGACTAAAAACGTTGCTGGGACTTGGTAGAGCCTTTGGCCAAAACTCTTGTTTGTTGTCTGTTTGCCTTCTTGCTCAGTTTCCGGACCCACTTCAGCTCCATTTTTGACTTGGGAAATAGAGCAGGACATTTCCGCTCTAGTCAACGCCCCGAGGGTAAACAATAATGAGTCTGCAAACCCTTTCTTACCACACCCTACATTTTTACTGTGTTACTAGTTGTACCCGGCCACGCATTGCTGTGGCCCTCAGAAAACAGAGAATTTGCAGACATGAAGCAATCTGGTCTAGGGAACTCCTCCCACCAATGGTTTCCTGCTGGCTAGTAGAAGCCAGGCTGTTAAGGTGCAAGGTGGTATGGAAAATAAAGTAATAAGAAGCAGCCACTGAAGCTGCAAGGCTTTTAAGTTATATTCATGCTGGCCAAAACACTAAAAAAAGCCTCTTTGAAACATATGCTGGGTGGCCATCTGTTGAGGGTGCTTTGAATGTGATTTTCCTGCTTCTTCACAGAATGGGGTTGGCCTGGATGGCCCACCAGGTGTCTCCCAACTCTAGGACTCTGATTCTATATTCTTCTCTTCCTATAACCAGTTTCCACTTTTCTTTCTTTGTTCCTTCCCTTCCTCTTCCCTTCCTTTCCTCTCCCATCCCTGCCTCCTTTCCTTTTTCTTTCATTCTACCTTTCCTTCCATTCATAATCTGCTCTTCTCTTCACCAATCCTTTTCTTCCTTTCTTCTCTCCCTTTCTTTCCCCTCCTTCCTCAGGGACAGTTTGTAAGGGTTTTTGAAAGGGCTTTTGGGGGGGGTGTGAAAGGGGGGGATGTGGAGCCCAAGTGGGAGAGTTGCTGGCCTTCCCTTCTTCCCCCAGAGGATTGCAAGGCAAGCCTGACTGCAGGAGTAGCTGCACGCATCCCCTTCACCTAAAGCAGTGTTTCTCAACCTGGGGGTCGGGACCCTGAGGGGGTCGTGAGGGGGTGTCAGAGGGGTCGCCAAAGACCATAAGAAAACACAGTATTTTCTGATGGTCATGGGGATTCCATGTGGGAAGTTTGAGCCAATTCTATCGTTGGTGGAGTTCAGAATGTTCTTTGATTGTAATTAACTATAAATCCCAGCAACTACAACTCCCAAATCTCAAGGTCTATTTTCCCCAGGCTCCACCAGTGTTCACATTTGGGCATATTGAGTATTCATGCCAAGTTTGGTCCAGATCCACCATTGCATGAGTCCACAGCGCTCTCTGGATATAGGTGAACTACAACTCCCAAACTCAAGGTCAATGCCCATCAAACCCTTCCAGGGTTTTCCATTGGTCATGGGAGCCAAGTTTGGTTCAAATTCATCGCTGGTGGAGTTCAGAGTGCTCTTTGATTATAAGTGAACTATAAATCCCAGCAACTACAACTCCCAAATTACAAAATAAATCCTCTCCCAACCCCACTAGCATTTACATGTAGATGCATTGGGTATTTGTGCCCAGTTTGGTCCATTGAATGAAATGCATCCTGCATATCAGATATTTACATTATGATTTATAACAGTAGTAAAAGGACAGGTATCAAGTAGCAACGAAAACAATATTATGGTTGGGGGTCAACACAACATGAGGGACTGGATTAAGGGGTCACGGCATTAGGAAGGTGGGGAAACACTGACCTAAAGGGACATATATACACAACTGGTGGAATGTGCTAAATTGCAAAGGTTTGGTCAGAACATAGTTCAAGGAATTAATAAAATATTGAGGAAATATCTGATTTGGAATAAGGAAAAACGTATCACACAAAATGTGTAAAAATGGCATTTAGAGGACAAATGCTATTTAACAAAGTGGTTATGAAAAGGCAGTAATAGGATAGAATTGGAAAGAGGCATAACAGCAGGATTTTGTAAGTGGAAACAAGGTGTAGCACAGTGGTTCTCAACCTTCCTAATGCCGTGACCCCTTAATACAGTCCCTCATGGTTGTGGTGACCCCCAACCATAATATTGTTTTTCGTTGCTACTTCATAAGAGTCATTTTACTTCTGTTATAAATCATAATGTAAATATCAGATATGCAAGATGTATTTTCATTTACTGGACTAAATTGAGCACAAATACCCAATATGCCCAAATGTGAAAGCTAGTGGGGTTGGGGGGGATTGATTTTGTAATTTGGGAGTTGTAGTTGCTGGGATTTATAGTTCACCTATAATCAAAGAGCATTCTGAACTCCACCATCGATGGATTTGAACCTAATTTGCCACACAGAGTTCCCATGACCAACAGAAAACACTGGAAGGGTTTGGTGGGTATTGACCTTGAGTTTGGGAGTTGTAGTTCACCTATATCCAGAGAGCACTGTGGACTCACGCAATGGTGGATCTGGACCAAACTTGGCACAAATACTCAATATGCGCAAATGTGAACACTGGTGGAGCTTGGGGAAAATAGACCTTGACTTTTGGGAGTTGTAGTTGCTGGGATTTATAGTTCATTACAATCAAAGAACATTCTGAACTCCACCAACGATAGAATTGGCTCAAACTTCCCACCTGGAATCCCCATGACCATCAGGAAATACTGTGTTTTCTGATGGTCTTTGGCGACCCCTCTGACACCCCTTCGCGACCCCCTCAGGGGTCCCGACCCCCAGGTTGAGAAACACTGGTGTAGCAGATTGTATGAAATTTGATCAATAAGTTAAAAAAAAGGGAGTTACATATAACAACCAGGGAGATGAAGGTGTTGGGATTAGAAATTACGAAAAATGAATGGATTATGTGAATAGGATAGATGGGAACAATGAACTGAAAGATACAATTAAAACGATCCTCCACATGAAAGGTAAAAGGGTATTAAAATAAATAGCTAGGTTGTTCCAGAAAAGGGAGGAAGGGTGAAAGAAGCCAAGTATAGAAGATTTGATATGTGGAATATGGTGAGTTGATTATGAGTTATTGAATGTTATAAGTGATGTGGCATTTATTTTTTGTTTCTTCTTCTTTAAAAATAGTAATTAATAAAAGTTGTATTAGCTTTAAAAAAAAAACCCATAACCAACATGATTACAGCTTGAGATCATCCTCCTTGCCTGCACCTATAACAGAACAAAGGAGCATTCAAGTGACAAAGATAGGCAGAAGGAAGAGTACTAAGAAGGAGGTACTTACTGAAGGCCAGCCAGGTTTGTCTCAGGTGGAGATAAACACGGAGATCTGTCTGGAATCCAAGCTCGCTCAAGGTGACGTCAGAACCAGCCTGTCCTTTGAGCTGGGCATATTCCATGTAACAGTGGAAGATACCTATAAGAAAAAAAAGCAGCTGTCAGAGTAATAGAGGGAACAGAAATATTGTTAGGAGAAAAAATCAGCTAGGCAGCAGAAGGCATACTCTGCTATGCATCAGAAGGACAAAAGACATGTTAACACCAAGGGTCTCCAACTTTTAGTTGGACTATGTTCCACCCCTGGATCCAGGGAGGGCTAGGCCAGTCCCATAGAAGGCAAAGAAAAGGGATGAGAAGAACCCAAACCAGATGTGTCCAGATGCTGGTTTTGGTTTTGAGGATGGTTTGGTGATACAAAATAAAGTCAGGGAGCTGCCCCAACATTTATAGGAAAATTACCATACCTGGAAAATGTGGCCAACAATTTGCCATTTGCCCAACTCTAGGCCAAACCATTGGTGAGAGAACAAAAACTTCACTCCTCCCCATCTGCCAGGCTGGAACTACACTGCCCTACATCCACGCTCTTGTTACATCCAGGATAGACTACTGCAACGCGCTCTACATGGGGTTGCCTTTGAAGACTGTTCGGAAGCTTCAAATCGTCCAACAAGAGGCAGCCAAGTTAATAACTGGGGCGGCATACAGGGAGCACACAACTCCCATGTTACGTCAACTCCACTGGCTGCCTGTTTGCTACCGGGCACAATTCAAAGTGCTGGCTTTGGCCTATAAAGCCCTAAAATCATAGAATCAAAGAGTTGGAAGAGACCTCATGGGCCATTCAGTCCAACCCCCTGCCAAGAAGCAGGAATATTGCATTCAAATCACCCCTGACAGATGGCCATCCAGTCTTTGTTTAAAAGCTTCCAAAGAAGGAGCCTCCACCACACTCCAGGGCAGAGAGTTCCACTGCTGAACGGCTCTCACAGTCAGGAAGTTCTTCCTCATGTTCAGATGGAATCTCCTCTCTTGTAGTTTGAAGCCATTGTTCTGCGTCCTAGTCTCCATGGAAGCAGAAAACAAGCTTGCTCCCTCCTCCCTGTGGCTTCCTCTCACATATTTATACATGGCTATCATATCTCCTCTCAGCCTTCTCTTCTTCAGGCTAAACATGCCCAGCTCCTTAAGCCGCTCCTCATAGGGCTTGTTCTCCAGACCCTTGATCATTTTAGTCACCCTCCTCTGGACACATTCCAGCTTGTCAATATCTCTCTTGAATTGTGGTGCCCAGAATTGGACACAATATTCCAGGTGTGGTCTCACCAAAGCAGAATAGAGGGGTAGCATGACTTCCCTAGATCTAGACACTATGCTCCTATTGATGCAGGCCAAAATCCCATTGGCTTTTTTTGCCGCCACTTCACATTGTTGGCTCATGTTTAACTTGTTGTCCACGAGGACTCCAAGATCTTTTTCACACGTACTGCTCTCAAGCCAGGCATTGTTCCCCATTCCGTATCTTTGCATTTTGTTTTTCCTGCCAAAGTGGAGTATCTTGCATTTATTACTGTTGAACTTCATTTTGTTAGTTTTGGCCCATCTCTCTAATCTGTCAAGATCGTTTTGAATCCTGCTCCTGTCCTCTGGAGTATTGGCTATCCTTCCCCGGCCCAGTTTACCTGTCCAAACGCCAGTCCCTTTACGAACCACTGTGGAAATTAAGATCTTCTGGGGAGGCCCTGCTCTTGGTTCCGCCACCATCACAGGTGCTTTGGGCAGGGACAAAAGAGGGGGCCTTTTCAGTGATTGCCCCCCAGTGATGGAATTCCCTTCCTGGCAATATTAGATCAGCCCCCTCCCTCCTGTCCTTCAGAAGGATGGTGAAGACCAGGCTGTGGGATGAAGCCTTTGGGGCAATGCAATGAGGCAAAATGGTGTCCTGAGATGGTTTTTAAGCAACTCTTGATGTGGATATAGGTGATTTTAATTTTTTATATATATTTATGGTTTTATGCCCTAGCATTGAATGTTTGCCATAGATATGTTGTGTTCTGCCCTGAGTCCCCTGCGGGGTGAAAAGGGCGAAACATAAATGTTTTAAATAAATAAATATTTCCACGGATCTGATCCTAGATTATCTGCTGATTCCAGATTATCTGGCAGTATAGACTCAAATAATACAGATCAAAGCAAATAATCTGGGATTAGATCCTGGGATAAAGGGTAGATCCAGCCCCAGACTCCTAGTTTCACCAAACTCACCATATCCAAGCACCAGGATCACCAGCACTATCATCACCCAGACCATGATCCCTGCCAGGAACCGGAGAAGGACAATAAAGATGAGGCTGACCACCATGGCAATCACCAGACCTCTGCAAGGACAACACAACCATAGAAGAGTTCCTGAGTTATTCCTCCACAAATAGAAAATAGAAGAGTTGAAATTTTTACTCCTAGGAGTAACTAACAGAACTGAAAATGTTACTCCCCTCAAAACAGCTACTGATTAAATTTTATTTCCTGGTTGAAAAGGGGTGCTCAAAACATTCCAGGATAATTGATGGTGGCTTCCATTTTATATCACCCTTATACATATCATGCTGCTTGTCTTACGTAATTGTACTTCCATTCCGATCTTGACTGTATTATAATTACATAAATGCACATACAAATATCTATTATTTTACCTATCTTCTGCAAGTTCTCAGCCATTTGCAGAGCTTCTGTGTTATCTTAGAGATGTTCATAAACATTGTCTGGGATAATATCTAGTACTTTCATCTGCAAGGCTTCAGGATTCATTCCACCATTTTAAAAAAGGAAGAGGAAAGTAAGATAAAAGCCCTGCTACATCATGAGAATGAGGAACAGGGTGATGTTCTGGTACGGCTGTACCAGGAGCTCCAACTTTATTTTCTTTCTGTTATCTGTTTTGCAGTCATAGGACAGGCCTCCTGTCCATCAGAATTAAGCTTTGGTTCCGCCCCTTGTTCTGGGCTCTGGGAGGGAAAGGAGCCATTTTTGGGCAGTCTCACATAAGGTAGCTAAGCTATAGGACACAGACCAGCTCGTCCCGTATAAAAGCTTCCTTTCTCAATAACCATACAGGAAAAAGTAACATCCGGGGATACAGAAGCAGAAATTCCAGGAGAAAGGTCCCAAAAGCTCTGGCTGAGAGCTCACAGCCTCTCAGCTTCACAGCATCAGAGGGAACAGCCCTGAAGTTTCTAAGAATTCTTGAAGGGAGAACAGCATTACAGATCCACGGAACTCCAGCTGAAATATATTCAAGCCTCGGCTGGTAGGTCTACTCGATACCCAGATGCATTTGGAATCGGTAGTAGGTTCCACACCGATGAGGCATAGAAAAAAAGCAGCCTGGGAGAGGTTAAAAAGGGTTTTTCCTACAGAGGAAGTTCAGTTAATCAAAGTCAGGTGCCAGTCCATTGAGGACTAGACTAAGAAAGCCTTGAAGTGTTGTTTGAACCATTGGAGATTTGTTGTTTGTTCCATAACAAAGAATTTGTTGCATCATCAAAGACTCTAAAGACTATCACTTCAGAAAAATCCCTGAGAACCTTTAATCCCGCTGGGTTTAAAGTATACGTCCTATAGAAAAGTACAGCTGTTACAGGCCCAGTGCGCGACAGAACAGGTGAAGTCAGGAAAACAAGGAGTTTCCAGCTCTTGCAAAGCTGATTTCCTTAGGAAATGCTTTATAAAGCACTATAGTATACGTCATATAATGATAATTAGATTATGACTGAAATCAACTGGAAGAAAATGGACTGTAAGTTTCTAGTTTAAATTTGCATAGAAACCAATACCAAGAAAATCATAGTCCCTTTTAAGAAAGAAAATCTCCGTCTTTGCTGGGTGAATCCAGCAAAGACGGAGATCCTATGGCTGGGTCAACCGGGCAGTGGGGATATCCAGCTGCCCACCCTGGATGGCGAGGCGCTACGCCCGTCATCATTGGTAAAGAGTCTGGGAGTCCTTTTGGACCCTCTGCTGATGATGGAGGCCCAGGTCTCCGCCGTTAGCAGAACCGCCTTTTTCCATCTGTGGCAGGCTAGACGGTTGGCCCCCTATCTGTCCAGGGACGACCTAGCTACGGTGATCCAGGCCACGGTCATCTCAAGACTGGACTACTCTAACGCCCTCTACATTGGCCTTCCTCTGTCGGTGATCCGGAAGCTCAAGTTGGTACAAAATGCAGCTGCTCGGCTTCTTGCGGGAACTCCGATGAGATGCCACATAACACCAATCTTACTACAGCTGCATTGGTTACCAATTGAGCACCGGATCACTTTCAAAGTGATGGTACTCACCTTTAAGGCCTTGCATGGTCTGGGGCCGATGTACCTGAGGGACCGCCTCACCCCCTACCAACCCCAGAGATCCCTCCGTTCTGAGGACCAAGATCTATTGGAAGTCCCCAGTGTCAAGACCTTGCGTCTAACAGCAACCAGACTCAGAGCCTTCACAGCAGTGGCACCATCACTCTGGAATATTCTGCCACCTGAGGTCCATGCCTTGAGGGACTTACCAGCTTTCCGCAGGGCATGTAAGATATACCTGTTTTGACAGGCTTTTAATGTTTGATACTGCCGTTTTTAAATTGTTTTAAATTGCTTTTAAATTTTGTTAGATTTTAGCCATTCTTGTAAGCCGCTTCGAGCCCCAGGGGAGTGGCGACATATAAGTTCAAATAATAAATAAAATAAATAAAAAAGTGAGATATAAATAAATAAATAGTTTCCTCTCTGTCAGTCTGGAAGAAGAGCTAATGTCTTCATTACATGCCCTCCTGGCAATTTCATTTTCCTGAGGTCCAGGAGCCTCACGTATGCCTACTTTACTAAATGTTGAGCAAATTATGTGTGTGAGTCTCCTGAGCCCTGCAAAAGGAGACTCAAACAGATAATTCCATGCATCCACGTTTGCTGAAAACTGCTATTCTACTGTGCTCCTTTCTCCTGGATCTACCACTATTCAATCACTGATTTTATTCTACATGATAAAAGGAGAGTCCAAGTTCTTTGCTCACATTATTATCCAGTACCAGGAAACGGTGTAATCTTCAAAGATCTTCATTGCCACTTGTCTTGCTTCAAGAACCACATTCGCCTTTCTGAAATTAAATGCAGCAAGAAATTAAAAGTAAAGAAAAGATGGAATATAATTCAACTGGACCTAGTAGCCCTATGAGTGTGATGTGGCTCTTAAATAGAAGTTTCCCACTCACAGCTCTTTCTGCAGCCCAGATTGTGAAAATCTTGATATCCACTTGGTCACTATTTTTGGCTGCTTTTCTCTTGTACTTACTCCCAGTTCCTATTTCTTCTGCATTTCTCAGCTCCTTTTGAGCCACTGTTGTTTAGACCTTTTTTTATATAACTATCAGAATTATGTAGTTTTTGGTTTCTTTTAAGCTAACCTAATTTTTGCAGTTGGGCTGAAAGTATATAACACTAATGCAGTCAGCCATCACAATATTTATAGCAATTTGGGAGGTTTCATTTTGATTCTCTGCTCCTTGATGTAAGTCATATCCTTGACCTTGGCAGAAAAGGTTTTCTGTCATTAGGTTTCTCGAATCTGGATGGCTAAAATTTTGTTTTGGGCTTCCATTTTCTTAAAGTGAGTATTTTTTGGCCATTATGGTGATGAAGGCAGTAACAAATACACACACGCCAGTCAAGAAGGCTGCAGAGCTTGGAGAGAGATTGAAGGCTTTAGTGTCCCATGAAATGGCACCTTAAAATTAAAGGTAAAATTTTCCCCTGACATTAATTCTAGTCGTGTCCGACTCTGGGGGTGGTGGTGGTGTTCATCTCCATTTCTAAGCCAGGCATTGTCCATAGACGCCTCCAAGGTCATGTGGCTGGCATGACTGCATGGAGTGCTATTAACTTCCCGCCGAAATGGTGCCTATTGATCTACTCCCATTTGCATGTTTTCGAACTGCTAGGTTGGCAGACGCTGGGGCTAACAGCGGGAGCTCACCCCACTCCCCAGATTCGAACTACCAGCCTTTCAGTCAGCAAGTTCAGCAGCTCAGCAGTTTAACCCATTGTACCACCAGGGGACCTCTTTACACTACCTTTGTAGAATAACTTTTTAAAAAGATTCCTAACGAGACCATATTACTCAAATTCACAATAATATTCTTCAAATCTGGATAGCCAACTGTACTTTAAGCTAATGAAACAAATTAATGAAAAAAAATCATAAATGGCTTTGATATACATATTAGGTTCTCATTCCATCTTGAATCAACAACACAAACACATAAAACTCACTTGGCCCCTTCTACGAGATCTGTCACATTTCTTGTCTTCCCACGTCCATCATTAAAGGTGGTCTCATTTCCAACCATTATGACTCCTTTCTTAGCACTGATAGCAGGTAAGCATCTGCGAGCCACTGCAGATCAAAACACACACACATACACAAATGAGTCAAACACATTCACACACACACACACTTTTTCTTGTCTTCTGATGGAGAGTTCTTCAATGGGGCCAGAAGGTTGACTGGAAAGCCACAGTGCCCCTGTTCTTATGGCTGGATGGCAGTGGAAGTAAGGAATTAGGATTCTCCTAAGTGAAAAGGGAAGGGAAGTACGAGTAAAATATTTTTTTCAAAACTGTAAGTCCAATTCTGGGGAAAAGGTGTGGTGTGAAGAAATACAATCATCATAATCCATTTATTGTTGTTGTTGTTGTTGTTATTATTATTATTATTATTATTATTATTACTACTACTACTACTACTAGCCGTCCCCTGCCACATGTTGCTGTGGCCCAGTCTGTGTATATGTGTTTTGTGTGTGTATATGTGTGTATATATTTGTATATATATATGTGTTTGCGCATTTTTGTATTTTTTTGCATTGTAATGTATTTTTGTTTTTTTGGATTTTTAAGTCCCTTCTGCTGTGTTTTTCAGTGTTTTTATGAGTGATGGTCACTCATTGGTCTGATAAGGTGTAATCTGTCCAAATTTGGTGTCAATTCGCCCAGTGGTTTTTGAGTTATGGTAATCCCACAAACAAACATTACATTTTTATTTATATAGATGATGATGAAGATGATGATGATGATAATAATAATAATAATTATTATTATTATTATGAGGAGCCCCCGGTGGCGCAGTGGGTTAAAGCACTGTGCCGGCAGGACTGAAGACCGACAGATCGCAGGTTCGAATCCGGGGAGAGGCGGATGAGCTCCCTCTATTAGCTCCAGCTCCTCATGCGGGGACATGAGAGAAGCCTCCCACAAAGATGATAAAACATCAAAAATCATCCAGGCGTCCCCTGGGCAACGTCCTTGCAGATGGTCAATTCTCTCACAACAGGAGCGGTTGCTCCGGACACGACAAAAAAAATATTATTATTATTATTATTGATGGTGATGACTGAATGTATTTATATCCATTTTTTTCTCCCAAAACTGGGATTAGGGTAATAATGAACACAATGAGAGAGTCTTTGGGAATTGAGTCTAAGTGTAATTCAAAAAGATTATTTCTCCATATTATAGTTAGTTGTTCTCTCTAACAGCTGAGAAAGGGAAGCATTGCCACACTGCATATAAACCAAACACAAAATCCCTCAGCTTCCCCTGACCAGGCAGACTCACAGGGCTTGCTTGGAGTCAACATGGCTGGGCAGTCACCATCTTTCAAAACTTGTGGTGGACTCTGGAATAAAGAGGGAGTGAAAAGAGCAATTATTAATTCCTAGCCAGAGAAGGAAGTCCTGCACATCTCCTCCTGGGAAGAAGAAAACCAAAAGGAAAATGAGAGTCTACTTTTATGTATGAACCAGTTCCCAGTCATTACTTGTCTGCACAGCTCACTCACCTTTCTCAGATCTTTAAATTCTGGGAGGCAAAACTGCTGATAGTATTTAAGGTCCCCAGAAGCCATGAGGTCAGTTGTGTGGGCTTGTAGGTAGGTGAGATATCGATCTGGGCATTTGCTTACACAGATCTAAAAAGAGTCCCAAGAAATACAACAAAATGTCAATATAAGCAAAGCATCAGCATGTAGGTGAATACCATTACCCAGCCATGATGAACACTTAGCAGGTAAGTCATTCAGAGCTCCAATTGCCAGAATCATCCCAGCTACTCTGTCCATTGGCCATGCTGGCTCACGGTTTTTTGGCAGATGTCAAGCAATAAGTAACTTTTATGAGCATTCCAAGATGCCATAGATCAGGGGTCCTCAAACTAAAGCCCGAGGGCCGGATATGACCCTCCAGGGTTATTTACCTGGCCCTCGGCTCAGGGTCAACCTAAATATGAAATTACTTGAAAACACACAACAACAACAATCCTATCTCATCAGCCAAAAGCAGACCCACACTTCCCATTGAAATACTAATAAGTTTATATTTGTTAAAATTGTTCTTCATTTTAATTATTGTATTGTTTTAAGTGTTTTTTGCACTGCAAATAAGATACGTCCAGTGTGCATAGGAATTCATTCATGTTTTTTCAAATTATAATCCAGCCCTCCAGCAGTTTGAGGGACTGTGACCTGGCCCTCTGCTTTAAAAGTTTGAGGACCCCTGCCATAGATTGTAAGATGAACCTTAATTTTAGTACCAATAACAACAACAAAAACACAAAAGACACACCCATGATTTTAATATGAACCCCATTTTAGAGATGTTTATAAAGGAAAAAAATGTCTTAGAACTAAAGATGTACAGTAAATTCGGCAAGTTTTGGTTTGTTAGTTTTGAATCCCTACTACAGATACAAGCATATTGTTATACTGTATTTATTAAAGCTACAAATGCCAAGCATCATCTTAGAAGAGGCATACTTACACGCTTCACACTCAGCACCAGCAAACTAATTTTACATTACTTGTTAGGCAATATTTTAATACCAATAGGACTAGACATCATATGAGTTCACTGTACTATATACTGGATTACATAAACAAAATGGTAGGACATTTTGTTTCTCTCAATCCCACAATAACATTTCTAAAACAGCCCCATGCAAAGTTCCCTTCAAATTATGCAAAGTTCCCTTCAAATTACAGTATATTCTGGCGTATAAGACTACTTTTTAGCCCAAGAAAATCTTCTCAAAAGTCAGAGGTTGTCTTATATGCGGGTGTAGTCTTATGCATGGAAGTCATCTTAACTCTAAGAAAAGAAAAGTTGGGGGTCGTCTTATACGCCCAGTCGTCTTATATGCCGGTATATATGGTATTTATCTACCTGGAGAGTATACCAATGGGGTGTGCCAGAGAGATAAACCTTACCTGTGTGGTGGGACACTGGAATTCCAGTAGGACCAAAGGACTGGCACATTTCATGATGTTGAAGTAGAACAAGAAAGGTTTGTTCCTGCAAACAGGAAAAAAGAATGATAAGAATATCCAGACCACTGTTTCCTTCTGTCAGCAGTTAAATTTAGACATTCCAGAGAGTCTGAAACAATGCTGGGGATCTTAATTCCCATCCTTCCTTTGGAAAAGTTACATGTCAGATCAAACTGTCCAGTGACTACACAGGTTGGGGAATTCTCGGAGTCACTGTCTACAAAGTAATTTTTCTTCAGGTCTAGGATGAGAGACAACTCTTATGGACTGAACAATTTCTGATTACAATAAATAATAATAATAATAATAATAATAATAATAATAATAATAAAACTTTATTTAAACCCCGCTACCATCTCCCCAAGGGGCTCAGTGCAGCTAACATGAGGCTGAGCCCACAATACATCAATAATAAAAGCAATAAGCAATAACAAACAACAATACAAAACAGTTAAAATAAATCTCATACAATGGAAGTATAAAGTAACCAACTAGTGTCGCTTGGGGAACACTCACAAATTTATTTATTTATTTACGGCATTTATAAGCTGCCCTTCTCACCCCAAAGGGGACTCAGAGCAGCTTACAAGATACATTTTCATACAATATATTATACTATTAGCATAGTACAATATCAGTATTATATATTACTATATTGCACTATACCATTATATTGTAATATTATTAGTAATATTACATGTAATGTAAATATATAATTATAATATTGTATTATTACTACTAGTATAATAAGACCATATTAATTTTCAAAATGGGATGCTAGAGGTCAAGCTTATCTACCTTCCTTGTCATTTAACTGTTCATCCTGGAGGTTTGAAGTAGTTTTCCCAACATTTAAGGGAAAACAATCTGTACATACTTAAAGGCACTTTTAATTTAGCCAATTTCAAAGGTATGTGGAAGAATGAGACCACCTTTCCACCCTCTTCTGCACTCTCTCCTTCCTCTCCTTGTCACTAGACCTTTTCTTTTCAGGAGCACCGGAGAGGACAGCAAAGAAGGAAGGGCTCATCTAATTGTCTACAGACAATGTCCTCCATCTATGGATTCACTTGACCCAGAATATGGGACAGAGACTGTCTTGGTAGCTATTACTGACGAAGTTCGTCGTCAATTAGACCGAGGCGGATCAGCGTTATTGGTACTCTTGGACCTCACAGCTGCATTCAACACCGTGGACCATGACTTGCTGATGTATCGATTGGCTCTGTCTGGTGTACGAGGTTTAGCCCTTAAATGGTTTAATTCGTTCCTCCGGGACCGGAGACAGAGGGTGGAGTGGTTAGGCCAAAGCTCTGAGAGCTCCTGCCTTTGTTGTGGAGTTCCCCAGGGTGCTATCCTCTCGCCCCTGTTATTTAACATCTACGTCCAACCACTTGCTGGACTGGTGCGGAGCTTTGGCATAGAGTGCTACCAGTATGCAGATGATACCCAGCTACTCTTGCGTCTCGAACCTGGGACAACCGCGATTCCTGAGAACTTTAAGGCTGTGTTTGGAAGCAGTGATGAGTTGGCTGCGAGCGAGCAGACTAAAAGTGAATCCTGCAAAAACTGAGATACTCTGGCCCGGCCAGCCGCCAGAATTAATCCAGTCTCTGCCTGATTTCGATGGGGAAGTTCTGGTTCCATCTGCCATGGTTAAAAGCCTTGGGGTTGTGTTGGACTCATAGCTGACAATGTGGAAGAATGAGACCCAGATCACTGCCATAAGTAAGCAGGCCTTTTTTCATCTTTGCCAGGCAAGGAAATTGGCATTCTACCTTCCGGTAGAAGCATTGGCAATGGTAATCCACGCAACAGTCACCACTAGGTTGGACTATTGCAACGCCTTATATGCCGACCTTCCGAAGTCAACAACCCAGAAGATTCGGATGGTCCAAAATGCAGTGGCCAGGCTGCTAGCGGGATCATCTATAAGATCCCATATTACACCGATTCTGCAACAACTGCATTGGCTACCAATAGAACATCGGATCTCTTACAAGATACTGATCCTGACATTTAGAGCTCAAAATGGCCAAGAACCTTTATATCTTAGGGACCGTCTCATTCCTTTTCTCCATCAGTGGTCACCTCGATCCACCCAGGAAAATCTCCTATACGTACTGGGCTCTAGGGAGATATACCTGGAAGCTACAAGGCGTAGAGCTTTTTCGACCTATGCTCCAATTCTGTGGAACTCATTACCTCCATATGTTAGAGCAATGTTGGAGTTGCGACCTTTTGTAAAAGCGCTCAAGACTTGGCTGTTTGGTTGTGCATTTAAGTAATCAGATTCTAATTTGCCAAATAGTCACTGTTGAATGTTTTTACGTTGAATGTTTTTATATTGTGAAATGCTATTTTAAATTCGCTTGGAGCACCTTGGTGGAGAGCGACTAATTAAGAAATAAAGTGAAGTGAAGAAGAATATCACTCATAGCCAACAATGGCTAAGCAAAGATAAAAAGGAAGGTCCCCTCCCAATCTCAAAGCTTGTTTTTCTGACTTCAGTCTGGCACATGACACAAACAGCCAGACAGCAACCAACTAAACCAACATGAGGGGATTTAACAATGGCAAAATACCTTGGAAATGTAGTCATCGTGGAACAATACAGGCATTTTTGTTGTTTTTGGGCCCTAATGAGTTATTTCATGGGTAAGACAAACACAATCCTAGCCTTTTTCAGATTGGCATGAGGCCTAGAATTTTTGCACTTTGAGAAAAGAAAGGTTGCCCTTTTCTACTCAGAAGAGACATGGAAAGATACCACACCAGCAGGAAGAGATGTGTGGCAAAATTTCCCTGAAATGCAAAGGATCTCATTGACCATGCACCGGCTTGTGCAAAAAATAAGAGGGTTTCTATTCGATACCTACTCATTAGGTGTTCCCTTCTGGCCACAAAACTGGCCGCGGCTGTCTGTTGGATAGATCACCTTCCTGGGGTCTCCTTGTGTCCATGCTGAAGAGAAGACAGAAATCCACAGTGTGACTGACTGCTCCCTCTTGCTCCACACGCAGTAGCACCAACCAGATTTCTCCAGAAGCTACATTGAATTGGGTTGTTGTAGGTTTTTCGGGCTATATGGCCATGTTCTAGAAGCATTCTCTCCTGGTGTTTCACCTGCATCTCTGGCAAGCATCCTCAGAGGTTGTGACCTCACAACCTCTGAGGATGCTTGCCATAGATGCAGGCAAAACCTGCAACAACCCAGTGATTCCAGCCATGAAAGCCTTCGACACTACTTTGAATTCTTAACATATAGCCTTTATTGACACCTTTATTTCAACCTCCTCAAAACACACCAAGATACAAGGATGTGTATCTGGTTATTAAACTTTCAGAACAAACTCATGAGCTAAGCTACCCATGAAGTAAGCTAACTTGAGCAAACTATTCAAAGCTACTGACACTTGAACCCAACTCTTCTCTCTATTAATGGTGTTACACATTTTCTCCAACCAAGGTCTCTTTAATTTTTCTGTAAGCAGTCACAAAATTAGAGGAGTTGCCTATGTCACCCTAACCTTGTTCAGATATGCAAATGCATGATCAAAAGAACACAACTATAATGACATTGATACATACATATATGTATCAATGTTGTTATTGTTGTGTTCTTTTGATCATATATACACACACACACACACGCACACACACACACGCACACACAAGTCGTCCCCTGCCATGCGTTGCTGTGGCCCAGTCTGGTGATCTGGAAAATAATGAGAAAGTGTTGGTTTCTAATATATGTAATTTCTTTATGCTTGTGGGCAAACAATTTTACTTGTTGTTTCTTTGTCAATGTTGATGTGAAGAGTGTCTGGTTTGCCTACTCTGGGACATGCGCCATATAATTGTCCTTCTTTAAGAGTCCCTTTCAAATCTATGATACTATATCTCTCTGTGTGTGAATCATATCTATCTATATCTATGGCTGGATGGCTCTTTGTCAGGAGGGCTTTGATTACGTTTTCTTGCCCTGGTGAAGGGAGTTGGACTGGATGGCCTTAAGTATTTTCTGTTGGTCATGGGGGTTCTGTGTGGGAAGTTTGCCCCAATTCTGTCATTGGTGGGGTTCAGAATGCTCTTTGATTGTAGGTGAACTATAAATCCCAGTAACTACAACTCCCAAATGTCAAGGTCTATTTCCCACAAACTCCATCTGTGTTCATATTTGGGCGTATCATATTTGTGCCAAGTTTGGTCCAGATCCATCATTGTTTGAGTCCACAGTGCTCTCTGGATGTAGGTGAACTACAACTCCCAACTCAAGGTCAATGCCCACCAAACCCTTCTAGTGTTTTCTGTTGGTCAAGGAAGTCCTGTATGCCCCGTTTGATTCAATTCTATCATGGTATTTGGTTGTAGGTGAACTATAAATCCTAGCAACTACAACTCCCTATCTATCTATCTATCTATCTATCTATCTATCTATCTATCTATCTATCTATCTATCTATCTATGGCTGGATGGCTCTTTGTCAGGAGGACTTTGATTACATTTTCTTGCCCTGGTGAAGGGAGTTGGACTGGATGGCCTTAAGTATTTTCTGTTGGTCATGGGGGTTCTGTGTGGGAAGTTTGCCCCGATTCTGTTGTTGGTGGGGTTCAGAATGCTCTTTGATTGTAGGTGAACTGTGAATCCCACTGACTACAACTCCCAAATGTCAAGGCCTATTTCCCCTAAACTCCATCTGTGTTCATATTTGGGCGTATTGAGCGCTTGTGCCAAGATTGGTCCAGATCCATCATTGTTTGAGTCCACAGTGCTCTCTGGATGTAGGTGAACTACAATTCCCAAACTCAAGATCAATGCCCACCAAACCCTTCCAGTATTTTCTATTGGTCATGGGAGTTCTGTGTGCCAAGTCTGGTTCAATTCCATCATTGATGGAGTTCAGAATGCTCTGTGACTGTAGGGGAACTATAAGTCCCAGCAACTACAACTCCCAAATGACAAAATACTAATTTTTTGAGTGATGGTATATATATATATGACTACTCACACAAAACAAAAAAGAAGTGTATTGTGAAGATACTGTTAGACAAGTTTCATAAGATTCTATACAAACACATTGTATCTTACGGCAAACACGGTTTCCTAAGAATCACAGCAGTCCCTTGTGTTTTATTTCTGTTTAACAGTAAATGGTGAGATAGGCCCCAGATAAACACTGGAAAACCTCACAAGAACACAGTCTTTTAAAAGCCTTCTTCCATTTGTTTAGGCTTCTATTCCCTGAATGCTTTCAACAGATCTAGGCCACATTCCTAGCCAGCACTTCTCAGCCAGTACCAAAATCTCCCTGAGTTCTAGGTTGAGAACATGACTGCAAAATTCTCAGCCAATGAAGCCACTAGATGGGAACTATCATATAAATAGGTAAGATTTCCAAGATCTACAGTAGACATCTTTTCCCAGTCTTTGGTGCAATAATTGAAGAATTGAGACTAAACAGGGAAAGATCTTTTCAACAATTCAACAGCCTTCAATTATTTTGTGTGGTTGCTTCTTTTTTAACTCGGTGCCCACCCCACTTCTTAGGGCAATGCACCTTCTTGCCCGTTAGATTTCCCTCCTCCAACTATAACATCCAGTTTGCAGCAAGTCTAGTGCGACTAGTGATCCCTGGAGCCAGGAAAAGAAGCATACATACCGACAACTCCCACAGCAACGTAGCCCACAATAGCAACCAGGAGCAGGATGCAGCAGATGATATCTGTGCAGCCCCTGAAGGAGAAAATGACTCCATTAAGAGCACTGTTTCTTTCAGCACTTAGTTTCTATAAAATTTGTTGTTGCTGTTCATTCGTTCAGTCGTTTCCGACTCTTCGTGACCTCATGGACCAGCCCACGCCAGAGCTCCCTGTTGGCCGTCACCAGCCCCAGCTCCTTCAAGGTCAATTTACTATATTTTTATGCTACCCTCCAAACATACTCCCAGAATTAAAACCTAATTAAATTTCAATTTCTAATTTGAATCATTTTACACTATTTTTCAAATAGTAGCACAAATATTAATAACTGATTGAGAAAGGTGCAGAACAAAAGATGCAGATAAAGTTAAAGCAACTGATGTCGCTCAATGAAGACATATCAGAAAATCATGGCTAATTGATATGTAATAATTACTAAAACCTAAGATAAGGGGGAAATGTTAAGATCTCTTGTGGATGTCAGTAATATATGCACTGACAAAACTGTATTCACCATTAATCTTGTGTCATCATGCAATCTCTGCTTTATAAAAGGAGGGCAGTGGGGAGAAGTCACGCCCAAGAAGATAAACCCCCCCCCTCCTTATAGCCACCTTCTCATTTTGCCCTCCAAACACATTTTTCAAAATATCACACTGTTTTCCATGTGTGTGCTTAAAGGTAGGTAAAGGTAAAGGTAGTCCCCTGACATTAAATCCAGTTGTGTCCGACTCTGGGGTGTGGTGCTCATCTCCATTTCTAAGCCGAAGAGCCAGCGTTGTCCGTAGACACCTCCAAGGTCATGTGGCCGGCATGACTGCATGGAGCGCCGTTACCTTCCTGCCGGAGCGATACCTATTGATCTACTCACATTTGCATGTTTTCGAACTGCTAGGTTGGCAGAAGCTAGGGCTGACAGCGGAAGCTCACGCTGCTCCCCGGAATCGAACCTGCAACCTTTCGATCAACAAGCTCAGCAGCTCAGTACTTTAACCCACTGCGCCACTGGGGGCTCCCCGGTGTGTGTGCTTACCTGTCATAAATAGGGCCTTTGAAAGTTGGATCATACTTTTGAGGTGTTCCTAGAAAAGAAGGCAAAGAATACAATGAGTTATGCAGTCATGGAAGGAAAGAATATGAAAACCGGATAAATTATTTGTCTACATCCATCCATTTTGGGAATCCAGTTTCTCATTAGAACCTCATTGAAATGAATGGAAAATAGGAGGGAAACTATCAAACCCAATACTGTCTACTCTGGCAACCATCCTCCAGAATTTTACATTCAGTGATATGAAAATTGACTATGGAGTGTTCTTCACGCAAATCCTATGTTCTGCCACCAAATCACAGCCCATTTTCATAGAAAAGCTGTGAACATCCTTTGGATGGGATGAACAAACACTTATCGCTGCTGTTTTCTTGGCCTGTTTGATGGGCAGAAATTCAAAGGAGAAAGCTTCACTTGCTGAGTATCTATTCATTGTGCCATTTTAGAGGCTCCAACTAGGCAAAAGAAGTTCAGTCTCAACAAATCACTTTCTAATACTTTTCAGCATTTTTAGGGAAATGGTCACTGGAAAAAAGAGTGACCAGAGACAAAGAAAGCAAGGCCTTATATTTGTAATATCCTCGTAGAAAAGGACATTCTAGCAGTTGCAAACTGTAGTACCATAGGCATACTACAAGGATTAAAAATATCTTTCCCCCCTCCTATGCTATTATGGGCAAAGTGTACCCTATAGAACCATTTCTGGGACCCATATGTTGAGGACTTCCATGGGCACTTTTAGACACAAGAAATGCCCTTTTAAAAACCAGAAGCAAACCACTTTGAAAAAAACACCCTCCTCTGGTTCTTAACATGGTCCAAGTGGATCTAAACATATGGCAAAATTGTTACGGTTATCATTATCATTAGGTTCTTGTGGGTTTTTTCGGGCTATATGGCCATGTTCTAGAGGCATTTCTCCTGACGTTTCGCCTGCATCTATGGCAAGCATCCTCAGAGGTAGTGAAGTCTGTTGGAATTAGGAAAATGGGTTTATATATCTGTGGAATGACTGGGGTGGGGCAATGAGCTCTTCTCTGCTGGAGCTAAGTGTGAATGTTTACTGACCACCTTCATTAGCATTGAAAGGCCTGGCTGAGCCTGGGGAAATCTTTTGTTGAGAGGTGTTAAGATGTGCCTGGTTGTTTCCTCTCTGCTGTTTTGCTGTTGTAATTTTAGAGTTTTTTAATACTGGTAGCCAGATTTTGTTCATTTTCATGGTCTCCTCCTTTCTGTTGAAATTGTCCACATGCTTGTGGATTTCAATGGCTTCTCTGTGTAGTCTGACATGGTGGTTGTTGGAGTGGTCCAGCATTATCATTATTTCCTGCCTTTTTCCCAGATTAAGACTAAAAGTAGGCACAATATTGAAAAAGGGATTGTTAAAAATTCATAAGATAAAATAGTTGAAACAAAGTTAAACAATTAGAAAAATTGTCGAAGGCTTTCATGGCCAGAATCACTGGGTTGTTGTAGGTTTTTTCGGGCTATATGGCCATGTTCTAGAGGCATTCTCCTGACGTTTCGCCTGCATCTATGGCAAGCATCCTCAGAGATAGTGAGGTTGTTGGAAATGGTCAGTTGAAACATTCACACTTAGCTCCAGCAGACAAGAGTCCTTTGTCCCATCCTGGTCATTCCACAGATATATAAACCCATTTTCCTAGTTCCAACAGACCTCACTACCTCTGAGGGTGCTTGCCATAGATGCAGGCGAAACGTCAGGAGAGAATGCCTCTAGACCATGGCCATATAGCCCGAAAGAACCTACAACAACCCCAATTAGAAAGATTTATACAGAATAAAATATACACCATCATTATTTTCTCTCTTAACAAGACTCAAAGCAGTGCTAAAAACAGTACCATATACAATTAAACCTAAAGACTATAAATACTAAAACAGAATTAAATCTGGAGTTATCTAAAAGCAAATAGTTAAAATCATTAAAGGCTATTTAAAATAGCTAAAGGCACTCCCTGGCTCGAATGTAAAAACCTGTCTGAAAAGAAAGGTTTTAGCCTGCACCCAGAAGGACAGCAGGGAATGGGCCATTCGGGCTTCCCTGGGAAGAAGGGAATTCCAGAATTAAGAGGCAGTCACTGATAAAGAGGTCCTCTTCTTGTGTCCCCACCAAACATGCTTGTAGCAGTTACGGGATGGAGAAAAGGACCTCTCCTGAGGACCTGAGAACTGGATAGGTTCATACAAGGAGATGCAAACAGCCAAACAAGTTGGATCTGAGCTGTATAGAGCTTTATAGGTTGTGTGTAACCAGCACTTTGATATGCAGGATGGGTTTTTATTCACTGGACCAAATTTGGCACAACTACCCGATATGCCCAAATTTGAATACTGATGGGATTGAGGGAGGATTGATTTAGTCATTAGAGAGTTAGTTGCTGGAATTTATAGCTAACCTACCATCAAAGAGCATTCTGAACTCCATCAACGATGAAATTGAACCAAACTTGGCACACACAACTCCCATGACCAACAGAAAATACTGGAAGGGTTTGGTGTTCTTGAGTTCTGGACTTGTAGTTCACCTACATCCAGAGAGTACTGTGGACCCCAACAATGGATGGATCTGGACAAACTTGGCATGAATACTCAGTTCTTTTGGGTTTTTTCGGGCTATATGGCCATGTTCTAGAGGCATTTCTCCTGACGTTTCGCCTGCATCTATGGCAAGCATCCTCAGAGGTGAGGTCTGCTGGAAATGGGAAAAAAGGGGTGGGGGTGGGAAAAAGGGAAAAAAGCATTTCCAGCAGACCTCACCTCTGAGGATGCTTGCCATAGATGCAGGCGAAACGTCAGGAGAAATGCCTCTAGAACATGGTCATATAGCCCGAAAAAACCCACAAGAACTGAGTGATTCCAGCCATGAAAGCCTTCAACAATACATTGGCATGAATACTCAATATGCCCAAATGTTAACACTGGTGGAGTTTGGCAAAAATAGATCTGGATATTTGGGAGTGTGAAAAAGATCTTGGAGTCCTCATGGACAACAAGTTAAACATGAGCCAACAATGTGATGTGGCGGCAAAAAAAGCCAATGGGATTTTGGCCTGCATCAATAGGAGCATAGTGTCTAGATCTAGGAAAGTAATGCTACCCCTCTATTCCGCTTTGGTTAGACCACACCTGGAATATTGTGTCCAATTCTGGGCACCACAATTCAAGAGAGATATTGACAAGCTGGAATGTGTCCAGAGGAGGGCGACTAAAATGATCAAGGGTCTGGAGAACAAGCCCTATGAGGAGCGGCTTAAGGAGCTGGGCATGTTTAGATTGAAGAAGAGAAGGCTGAGAGGAGATATGATAGCCATGTATAAATATGTGAGAGGAAGCCACAGGGAGGAGGGAGCAAGCTTGTTTTCTGCTTCCTTGGAGACTAGGACGCGGAACAATGGCTTCAAACTACAAGAAAGGAGATTCCATCTGAACATGAGGAAGAACTTCCTGACTGTGAGAGCCGTTCAGCAGTGGAACTCTCTGCCCCGGAGTGTGGTGGAGGCTCCTTCTTTGGAAGCTTTTAAACAGAGGCTGGATGGCCATCTGTCAGGGGTGGTTTGAATGCAATATTCCTGCTTCTTGGCAGGGGGTTGGACTGGATGGCCCATGAGGTGTCTTCCAACTCTTTGACTCTATGATTCTATGAGTTGTAGTTGCTGGGATTTATAGTTCAGCTACAATCAAAAGAGCATTCTGAACCTCACCAACTATAGAATTGGGCCAAACTTCCCACACAGAGCCCTCATGACCAACAGAAAATACTGCATTTTCTGATGATCAGTAGCAACCCCTCTGACCCCGCCTCGCAACCCCCCCCCCCCAAGAGGTTCCAACCCCCAGGTTGAGAAACACTGCTCTACAGCTACCTTCAAGAAGTACTTTTTCAAGAAACTTTTAGGAACAATTTGGCCCAGTCCCCAGTCAGCCTGAGATTTCAAGGTTAAGACATATGCCTTGAGCCATTCCAGTACTATTGCACTAGTTCATTTAGTTAATTCGTATTTCATGTTTCACCTTGAAATGCAAAGTTACTGAGTTCAACAGTTTTTTTGTTGGCAAAGGCTCAAAATGCAGCGACTTGCTGACTTCCCTTAATGCAAATACTGGAGGAGAAAACAGAGAGAAAAACAATGCAAACCAAACACTGAACAGCTTTGAAAATGCCTAGTTTCTCTAGCCACACTTCCTCCACATCAAGGAACCATCAATCTTGGCTCATCTGCAGATCTTGCACTTCAATAAAGTGAGAGGAGTAATCCAACCAAGGTACCTCCCACAATTTTCAGGGAAAGGCTCCTTTCCCTGAAAGGCCTAGCTACAAAGTTAATAGGAAAGCAATCTGGGACCTAGTTGCAGAACATGTTTCTTCCTGAGTACTCCAGACTAGAGCTGGCAATTATGCAGGTTTGTCCAGCCTGACACAGACACACACAAATCTCACTAGAAATATTTTGGAAAAAACAGCCCCCAAAGATTCTTCAGCAAAGCCTGCTATGCTTAGAAGAAAATCTGCTTTCAGTATTTGTTCTCACTCTGGAACACAAACAAAAGACAAAATGGGGGTTACTAACAGATTTGTATAAATGGATGGCATTTAGAAACTTTTTACTGTTGCAAAAAATGTCTGTGACTCCAACACTGTGCTAAGAGTACCCCATACTTGGCCCTAAATTCTTAAAGAACATCCCCAGCATTTCTAGAAAACTCAAATGTGTTCCACTGCTGTGAAAGCAATATGAATGAACGCCCTGAACAGTAGTTATATCTAGGGGAGACAGGCAGGTTGGTGGTGAAGGAAAATCCCCAGTAGCAGGACTTCTATTTTGGCCCCTCACAGCTGCAGTGGTAGCCAAATCCCAGAGACTCCCTCTGTCACCCAGCCTTGCTGCTGCCTTGTCTTGGCTACAAATACCAATGGAAGCGTGCCAACCTAATTTTACTCCCTGGAAACAACATCCTTTCTCATATCCTTTCCCTGTTCATAAGAGGAAATTCTGACCAAGCCAAAGT